GTGTTCCATATTCTTTGTTAACCCGCTTTTGTTTCTGAAGCTGGTTTGTACTTTGTAGGTGATACTCGTATAAGTAAACTTATTTTTTAAGAATGAATCTACATGTGCTCATATTTCAGTTTCAGTTTGAACTATCAGTTTTTAGCACGAATTACAAGTACTGCTAGCACGAAAACCGAAGTAAGACCGATCTGTCTCTATAAAAATAAATGAATGGCGTTTACTAGAAATGGGTAAACAAAGGATTTTAAGCCAACATAAGCGTTAATGCTCATACAAAAGCGTACGAAGTGGCTCACTGCCATAATTATGGGTCGTATCATATAAGTACCTAGTACTACCTACATACTTAAACTAGCGTACAATGCAATGCATTCGTTATAAGTTTATAACATAGCGTATCTTTAACTTTTTAATTTTGTTGGGCCCCTCCCTGTTGCTCATAGCAGTTGAAACTATTTTTTTAGTAATGCCCTATTGTTACTCTGTCACCCTACAAAATATGAAATTTTTCTGAGGGGAGCCGGTGACGCGTCCCTGGTGAGTAAACTCACATTATGAGGAAGACTCATATCCAAAAAGCGTATAATGATTGGAAACAATAAGCAGGTTGCGGTATCAACGAAGGGGTACGATTGACGATAGAATTAACGACGGGATACAATTAACGAACGTTTAAACGGCAGTACCCGTCGTTATTAACGAAACGAAGGGGGTATCGTTTCGTTAATAACGACGTTGAAATTCAGTAATAAACGACTGGGCCTACATGGACCATTGAGCACGAAGACTGAATAGGCTAGACAGTCTACCCAGTGAATTTCTGCCTGGGCATTCAATCCTGAGTTGCCCACTCGACTCGAATTTTCGAAAATTGCACCAGTCTCGACAATTGAACTTCTGTCAGTGATGTTTTTGGCAGCCATTTAGAAAGCAAAATAATTTACTTTGTCATAAAAGTAACAATTATTGTAAAAACTAAAACACAGTTATACGAATACTTTGCTGATTCAGCAACCAAATGTTCTAATTTCTGTAGCAGCTTTGTAGCCTGTACTGTGCATCCCTGCATACTCACCAGTTTTCAAGAAATTCACGCATTCCCGAATGAAAAGACTAATCTTTGTAACGTCTGTGCGGAAACTTAAACCGCAGATCTCTCTAAGCTATTTACATCACATGAAAATCTGCATTTTGTTATCTCTACGCTGGTAAACGAAATGATGAATGGAGACTGGATGATAGCAGTTCCTCCCGCTAATTTCAGGGGCAGTAAATTCTTTAGTGTATAACGCAACCTCTTATTCGAATCAACGGCACATTAAATTAACAACGTTAAAACCGTCGTTAATTTTGCCGTTAATCGTATGGCCGTGCAAAACGCAACCTACTTAATACTCGTATACCAGAAAAAGTGCAACGAAAAGTTTAACATTATGGCTACGTGCACGGGGAGACACGGGTGTTGGCTGCGTGCACGGGCAGTTTATTTAATTTAAATTTATTAAATTAAGAAAATTAAATTCTGCAGTATTTTATTCTGTAATACAGCAGCCAGTAACGAATACCTTGTAGCTTTTGAAAAAGTTTGCATTAAAACATCGTTTTTTTTTATGGATGTCGTTATAAGCACCTTTAAAATTACCGCTACCCTCTGCCATTAAGCACCGCTTAACTCAATACTGATTACTGGCTCATCAAAGGGTCACGGTTTTAAACTGGAAAAATAAAAGCAAAACGACATACAAAATTAGTTTAAAAAATTATCTTCAAAAGTTTCTGAACTTGACGGAGCAAGATTGCATTCGCAATGGAAGAAGGAAAAAAGCTTCGTTGAAGTTCGTTCTTTCGAAGATTTTGTGCTATAACAACATACCTATAACATAAAAATGTCAACCAACGATAAGATCTTTTCGAAATACGTAAAAAAAATTCAAATCAAAAAGCTGTGCACACATCCAACGCCCGTGTAAATAATAATACCCGAGCACGCAGCCAACGGCACAACACCCGTGTTTTCCCGTGCACGCAGCATCTACCAAATTTTAAAGGGGCTACTAACTACTTAACAACTGAGCGTAATTTTCAAGCAAGCTTTTAAAAAGTGCAGTGGTATTTTTAAAATAATAAATATTTGGCTATTAGCCTATTTGGCCGCACACTCAGCTAAAATAGCTTAGGGTTTTTTTGGCACTACCAAAAAAACAGAACAGCCATCCACTATTTTACCGTACAATACGCTAACACTGCCTACCAGACCATAGAAAATCTGAGAAACCTAAATTTCAGAAAGTTAGGAAAAAGCTAATAACTCAAGATTAACCTAGGAACAAACAAAAAAACTAAGAAAAACTAATGAAAAGCGAGAATAACTAAGGCTTGAGAAAACCCGAGAAAATCTATATTAAACAAAACCGAACATCCAAAGAATAGCGCACCAACAGCCGATCGAAGTTCAGATTTCAGCAAAAGAGCAGCGGACTATTGTTGCGCATTGTGCGGTGCCACAACATTTCACGCATGGTCGGCAACTCGGCATGGATGATTAATTCATTTACTAAACTACAGACTCTGTACAATGAACAGTCTTTCGCGCGGAGCCCGAAGCTAAGTTGGAGAAAATTGAAAATTCACAAAAAACTGCAATATTCTCGATTCTGGAAATATCGGTGAACATTTTTAAGCAATGCTGGCTATTATGCTGCAATTCACCCAGTTTCGAAAACATTCTGGAGGTTCTGCCCCCCTCAAATTCGCCACTGCTAAGGCTATCAAGCGATACAGACATTTGGAAGTTTGGTTTGTGTGTCAGGCTGGCGAACTCAACAAAGTTGGAATTTTGTTATAGCTTAATTTACTCGATTACTCGTAGTGAGTAGTATATACAGTAGTACTGTTGAGTTACGATGCATGCATGCAGCTACGTAATTAAAAAATAAATCAGCCTAAAAAAAGAACATTATAATTACAGAGAATATGAAGATTTAAAAGAAATTCAGATGCCAAGCCAACACTCACCATACTCCCGACACAATAATCCTTGCTTTCGCCCATGGTAGATGACGCAATAAAAGACCAAATGCTTATAATTTATATGAAGTGTTGGGCGTCAAAGATGTAAACATTAAAATTCCGTCGCTTTGTGAATAATTTTAATGATTTGCGAACAAAATAAGAAAACTACTATATCCGGATATCATATAACTCACTGTACGAAAAAGTGCCAAGTTGACTCGACAACACAGTACAAAAAACAACCTTTCCGCACTGCATACGGCTAAATCACAACAAAATAATTTGACGATTTGGATGTAAAGAAAGAGCTCTGGATTCCAGATTTTCAACGAAGGGCTTGCGACAGCGCGTCCGATCACTTCGGCCGCGTTACATTTCGGCCGCACAGGTTCATTTCGGCCAACGTTCATTTCGGCCGTGGCTCACTTCGGCCAACACTCGTTTCGGCCAACACTCATTTCGGCCAATGCTCATTTCGGCAACTGGATGTGTCGGCCATCTTAGGCCCTCTTAGGCCGTCCTAGGTTTTCTTAGGACTCCTTCTATTTCCTTAGGTTTTCTTATGTTTTCTTAGGATTCTTAGGTTTGTAATAGTTTCTTAGGTTACTTAGGTTTATTATGGCTTCTTAGGTTTATTATGGTTTCTTAGGTTTTTTTTTCGACACCAGTCAGCTCACAGATCAGATCAGATGATATTCTTATGTTTTTTATGGTTTGTTAGGTTTGTTTGGTTTCTTAGGTTTCTTTGGTTTTCTAAGGTTTTCTTAGGATTTTTTAGGTTTTCGTATTCATTCTTACGTTATTCTCAGGTGATTTAAGATCTGATGATTTGTTATTATTTTTTATGTTTTTCTGGGTATCGTGCGATTAACTCACTCGGGACGGTAAACTTCGTGTGATCGATCTTATGACGGTCGACGATGTGTTAATAAGGACACCCGGAAAAGAGAGACATGATGGTGCATTGGTGACAATAGCACTTCCAAAATTGTTTGAAAAACAGTGCGTGCAAATGAAGTAGAAACAGAAGAAAATTTCGTACTAACAATACTTGTTCAGTTACTTTTACGCTGCAGAATAATAGTTTAGGCAAGGCCTATTTCCGCAGAAACGTAATTTGGCCGAAGTGAATTGCGGCCGAAATGAATGACGGCCGAAATGAATGACGGCCGAAGTAAATGGTGGCCGAAAAACTTTGGCCGAAATGAGCGTGGCCAATATGAAAACGGCCGAAGTGATCGGTAGCCTGCGACAGCCTTGCGTGAAAAAAATGAGCTGTGACTCCTGAGGCGCCTGTGTCCTGTGAGTGTTATCACAGTCGGCAAAGTGATTAAACAGTGGCTGAACAAAATCGATTTTACCGTAAAGAAAGCGCAATCGAGTTCTTGATAGGGGGACCGACCCCTGCGTGACATACGGTTGGCTAGGCTGGGGAAAAAAACCATTTCGGTGTCTCTGAAAGGAATTTGCGGCTTCTGTTTTTAATCTGTTTAGTACCGGATCTTCCAACTCCAGGCATACAAAAGGGCAGCAAAACCAACGTTCAGACCGCATAATGTGCATACTCTGATATTTTGTTAATTGTTTGGTTAAGTAACACCCCCGGAGGCTGTGCCCCTGAGCCCCTGAGGTCAGTGCCAATTGGGGGTAGTGCTTCTGTATAACATACACCACTCTGTAACATTCAGAAAGCCTGGAACGGAGGGTGTATGTTGTAGAGAAGTTTCACTGTAGCCGGTAAAATGATCAGAAATTCATAACGCAATGATGAATCATAACTGGGTGGTCTTATGGTTGTACAACTTCTATCGCTACATCCCTCACGGTAGCGATGAGATATACCTGTCTCATCAAGACAATACAAAAGGAAAAGAAATTAAGAAAGAAAATGGAAAAGGTTAAATGCGGTTAAATACTGGTTGTACTTGCATACCGTGTCCGGAGGGGGAAGGGACTGGTGCGGCGCCACGGTACGGTGTGTCCTGTTAAAGGTGATCATGGCAGTGGTTCCGGCAGGTACGGTCAGTGGATACTTTCGTAGTTTTCCTCAAGCTCAGGATCCGCTGATTTGGTTCCCTCACGGTATCCGAAAATTTTCCGCGTTCGACCGGCGTCGTGGGGATGGAGTGGGAACATCGGCAAAAGTTCGGCCGTCCAATAAACAGTTCGGGCGGTGACTGTTCAGTCGTTGCATGTGGCGCACTTCGATAACGCCACAGGAACTGGCGCAACGCATCCGGCAGTGCATGGCCGTCGGCCATCAACTTCGCAACACCGTCTTTAACGGTCTGCACGTACCGCTCGGCCTGACCGTTTGACTGCGGGTGACCTGGAGGCGTCCTGGTGTGCTTAATGCCATACTTGCTGCAGAAATCCACAAATTGCTGCGAAGTGAATGGTGTGCCGTTGTCCGACACAACTTCATTGCACACACCGTAACGACTGAACATCGTGAGCAGCGTCTCCATCACTCCTTTCGTCGTTGCGTGCTTCATTTGCACCACTTCGGGCCATTTGGACATTGCGTCCACAACTATGAGCAACATCGTACCTCGACATGGACCGGCAAAGTCCATGTCAACGCGCTTCCAGGAGGCGTCGGGCACCGACCACTGCGCTAGCGGAACTTTCGCTGTCTCACCCGCGCGCTCGGTGCATATTCGGCAGTCCTTGGCGACCTGCTCGATGTCCCTGTCCATCGATGGCCACCAACAGTAGCCTCGCGCTTCACCTTTCATTTTCCCGGCGCCCATGTGTGCTGCGCGTAGGTGCTTCAGTATCCTGGCACGATACTTCTCGGGAATTACCGTGCGCGATCCCCAGCACACGCAGCCATTCAGTACACTGAGCTCATGCTGTACCTTCTTGTACGGTCGCATTCGATCGCTTACGGACTCCGGCCAGCCGCGACTGATGCACTGGCGTACTTCCTGGAGCTCCGCATCGGCAGCCGTTTCCCTTGCGATATCTTCCACGGACACGGGTATGTTTTCGGCACTTTCCACATGCAGCGCGCTCACTACGTTGTCCATCCCCAGGTTTGGGTATTTCTCCAGCTGTGTGGAGTGGAGCGGCAGTCGGCTGAGGCCATCCGCTTGACCAAACTCCTCGGTGCGGCGGTACTCTATGGAAAACGTATATCCCATGAGCAGCAGCGCCCACCGCTGAAGTCGATTGGCCGTGACCACTGGGACACCTTTCCGCTTGCCGAAAACGCTCAGTAACGGCTTGTGATCCGTTAACAGCGTGAACTCCTTGCCGGCCACGTACTGGTGGAATTTCTTGCAGCCGTAGACGAGCGCAAGTGCCTCTTTTTCAATTTGCCCGTAATTCTTTTCCGCCGCTGACACAGACTTTTAGACGCGTATGCAATCGGCCTTTCCGTTCCGTCGGGAAAACGGTGACACAGAACCGCTCCCACACCATACTGCGACGCATCCGCTGCCAGCACCAACGGCATTGCGGGATTAAAGTGCACCAGGAACGTTGCGTAGACGATTTCTTCCTTGAGTGCTTGAAACTGCTTCGCACACTCAGTCGTCCATTCCCATGGTGCGCCGGACTTTAATAGGCAGTGAAACTGACTGCACTCTGCGGACAGGTTCGGTACGAACTTGGCGTAGTGATTTACCATGCCTAAGTAAGCACGTAAATCACTGACGTTGGTGGGCATCTTCATGTCCACTAGTGCTTTCACGCGATCCTGGGATATGTGTCCCCCGCGGCGATCCACCACAAAACCCAGATACTCGACCGATTCCTGCATGAATCTGCACTTCGACAGTTTCACGCGTAGTCCGTACTTCTCCAGCCGTTCTAACACCGCTTCCAAGTTCCGCTGGTGTTCCTCGTCCGTCTTGCCCGTGACGATAATGTCGTCAATATACACCGGCACGCCCTCGCAGTCTTGCAGTATGCGCTCAATGATTTGCTGGAATATGCTTGGTCCGCTTGCGACTCCAAACGGCAAACGGTTGTACCTGAACAGACCTTTATGCGTGTTGATGACAACAAGTTGTTCACTTTCGTCGTCCAGCTCTATTTGCGCATACGCTTCTGCCAGATCCAGGCTGCTGAACTTGTCGCCCCCGTTCCACTTGGCAAACAGTTCATCGGGAGTGGCAGCGGATAGGTTTGCACGTCGAGCGAGTCATTCAATCCTGTGCTCAGATCAGCGCACGTGCGGATGTCTGCGGCTCGCTTCTGCGTTCCAACAATGGGTGCAGCCCACTCCGCATGCTCCACAGGCGTGAGCATCCCTCTTTCCACCAAGCGCTCTAGGTCTTTCTCCACTGCGTCCCGATAGGCGAACAGGACCGTCCATGGCTTACAGAATATCGGCTTCGCGCCTTCCTTCAAGTAGAGGTGCGCCTTAAATTCCTTGCAGCGCCCAAGTTCATCGCGAAATACGCTGCTGTGGCAATCCAGGATGCTCTGGACAGTTGCACGAGCGGTGACTTTTGAGACCGCAGACACTTGCAGCTCTTTCAGACTCAGATGATTGAGGTCTAGCGCTTTGATCCAGTCGCGTCCCAGCACGTCACCTCCACGGGCTACGACGACGACGGGCAGTGACTTCCTTCTCCGTCCATATACCACCGGCATCATTGAACTTCCGATCACCTGGATCGGATGGCCCGTGAAACTTCGCAGCGGTGTGGCATAAAGCGTCAGCTTCGGCGAGCCGATCTGTCTCCACGTGCTCGCCGTAATAATCGTCACACCTGATCCCGTATCCAGCAGCATGGACACACGGGAATCGTTCAAGGTGATCGGTACCCGAATCGATCCTTCCACTTCGTCACCGATAGCCAGGACGTCGAAGTCTTCCTGCATTGTCCACGTCCGACGACCACCGCCGCCTCTGTCGCCCTTTGGCGCAGGTTTGCACGCCTTTGCGACGTGACCTTTCTTGCCGCACTTTCTGCACGTCGCTTCCTTTGCCCAGCGATCGGCCTTCACATGCCTTTTCCCGCCACACGCGTAGCATGCGCCGCTGCTGCCGGCCATCTTTCCACTGTTTCCGTCACCACGCCCAGGCCGAGTACCACCGTTACGTCCCTTCGGATGTGGCCCCGAACGTCCCTTCTGGCCGCCGCCGATCCTCGCCACTTCAGTAGTAGTGGCTGTCCGTTTCAGCTGCGCCAGCTCATACTGCTCTGCGATATCCAGCGCTTTCGCCAGAACATCGATTTCCTTGGTTCGCAAATGGCGCTGCGTCGCTTCATTTTGGACTCCGTTCAGGAAGGCCGCGCGCATGTTCCCCTCCAACGCGTCCGCCGGAAAAGAACACAACGCCGCCTTCCTCCGCAGCTTATTGGCAAAATCCAAAAGGGTTTCACCAACTTCCTGCTTCAGGAGGAAAAAGTTCGCCCATTCTGTTGACTACAGTGTCTTCTTTACGTATGCATGCTCGAGATGGGCATGACTTCATCCAGCTTTAACTCTGCGGGATCTTGAGGAAGACACATGGCGAACAACATCTCACGTGCTTCCACTCCTAGTGAGTCCAATAGCAGCCGCTTTTGATCGTCCTCCGTGGTGAGTTCCTGTATTTTAACATTATTGTTATAACGGGAACGCCATGCTTTCCACACCATGGAGCCTGGCTCGAACTTGAGCAGCGTCGGGGATTCCTTTGCTTTTTCCATAGTAGGCGGGCCGGACGTGGTTAACGTGGCAATAGCAATTTCAATATTGTCCAGAGACATTCGTTGAATACCACAAAAATGGCCTTCACGCCAAGTTTGTCATGACTTCACTTAGTTCTCTGACGTCTTTTTACTAATTATGTAATATCACAACGTAATATCAAGTATAAATATGTACATCATATCGTTGCTTTGCTACACTGACACACGCCCATGTCTCGTCGGTGTATTGTTCACGCACCACCATGTACTGCCATATGCGTTAGCCATGCAGTAATGCAGTACTGCATGGCTAACGTACTTAATGTAGTAAGGCAGTATACATGCAGTAATGCAGTATACTCTACGGGAAAATTTTATTTCTGGATTTCTCCAGTTTGTTAAATCACTACTAATATAAAAAACACAATTATGAATTCCATGTCGTTAACAATTCGTCGAATGTGAGAAAGTCAGACAGTCAGAAAATGGCAAGTGTACCGATTTATTTCACCTTGGGTCACATCTGCTGGCAAACTGCGCGTTGCTTGAATTACTCAACAAAGTTCTGCTTAATTTATGGAATCGTTTACGCCCGGACCTTGCATTATGAGCAAGAACAACAAACATGACATAAACAAAAAAGGCTATTGTCACGCTGGTACAGGATATAAAATTGTACAATACGGCACGCGACGTGCCGCTGAAGTACAAAACTAGCAAAATTCTCGCCATTATTTTTTATGCCTTTTCTAGTGGTCTTATTACTACTTAAGTAAACTATTATAACTTTGATTACTGTAGAATAACCGTGCACTTGACAGCTTTTTTCGTTACTCTACAATAGTGTCAACGAGTTAGTACTGTAAAATAATTCAACCGTACTTTTGAACATATTGTAACTATTGTGTTATTCAAATAAAGTAAATTAATACTTATTTTCAAAGCTTTCGAGTGACCTTGAAAATGATATCCTGAATATATCCCAGGCTTTGTAATAGAATGGTTTTAATGTTGTATCATACTATATCATATAGTTAATTTTAAGTAGTGCATGTTACGCCGATAAGTATGTAACAGTAGTGCAAATTGTAGTACATGTTTTAAAATGCACATACTGTCACGATATTGATGACAGCAAACAATTGCAAACAGAATAAACAAAGCAATCCTACAGGTATGAGGAAAAACTAACGTGATTCTGCTCTTCGCTATACTAAATATTCGGTTTATATTGCACTATCGTAAGTACTCTTGTGCAATAGTTAATAAACGCTTCTATGTGAAAATATCTGTAATATGCCAGAGTAAAAGGCACGTGTCATACAGGCACTTGCAAGTAATACGTAGTAATTGTGTATGTCGCATATAGGCAGGACACTTAAGAAGAGATTATACCGATTTCGACCTCTTTTGACTATTCTCGCTGGCGCAATGCGTGCGCTTGTGCTTCTTCATAACTACACATCTGACCTAACGCTGTGGTATTTTCGCTACATACATTGAAAGTCTGAAATTGGTTAGACAATTTTAAAATGTAAAAGTCACTGATCAAAAGCAGTTATTTTCCGGAAGCAATAACAATTCAAGCACATTTTTGAAATTTTTCTTTCAAGCGTAGCGATGTGTTCCGCTAAAATGACTAAAGTTCTGTGGAGCGTTTTTTCCAAAAAACTGAACCGTTCTTGAAAAAAACAAACTTTTTTACACTCAAAGTTACTTTCTTTTATTTTTTACAAAATACGCAAATATTTTTCATAAAAACGCTCCACACTTCTTCTTGAAAATGATTTTTCTTAAATCTGATCAAATGTCAGAATTTTCTGACATCTTTGAAAATTATTATTGAGTTTAGAAGTCAATTTTGGAAAATTTTTCAGAAAGTGGCGAAGAACCTTCTTTTGTTCTGCGCGTTCCTTTGGTCTTACCGATTCTGCGCTTGCAGTGCCGCCACACTGATTGTATGCACAGCGAAGAGTGGACTTTGGCCAATTTCTCATGTGCACTCACGGGATAGCGCTACGTGTTTCCATTGTCTAGCGCCTTTGTTATGCTGTGTTCGTCCTCACTGTGTAAACATGAGCCTTGTCTGGTCTTATTACACTTGCAATCTGGCATGGAATATAACAGCCACAAGGCATATTCCAGATTGAAAGAAAGCACATCTCGGTGCAATCTTTCTTTCACGAATTTTGACAGGTGGCAGTACTGTAGAAAGATACGCTAGCCCGCTAAATCGCTCCTGGTCGGCAACGAAAAAACTTGAATAAGTTTTTTCGTTGCTACCTGAATCTACTCAACTTTCGCCCAGTAATAGATGTAACTATTCTTGTTACACTGTAGAATTTCGAAAATCTCAGTTTCAGTCTTGCTACCATAGTATAAATTCTCCTTAAGTTGGGACATTAATAGAAGTTTTCAGCAGAGACACCATAGCCATACCTTAACCATCTCTTATCAAATAACATACGGTTATGGTAAAAAAATCGTAATCATGATTTTGCACGGCCTGACTTAACACAACGCTTATGCAAACCATTGACTTTTCATTCCTGTCAAGTGTCAACCTGCATATTACACTTACAACACAATTAACTGTCTTGTATTTTTGTAATTATTATTGTCTTGTATTTTTGTCTCTGCAAATCTGGAACTGATACTTTTGAGATTCGTTTTGAGAAAGTGTTATTTTGATATTTAAATGTTGTGTTGATCAAATTTGTGGAAAATGGACACGCATGCCAGAGGATATGCTGGTGACTGAATTTCTGATTGCTCTCTGACCCGTTGCGCGTATTCTGGAAATCTCGAAAATGAAATTCGTCTATCTTTTTTTGCTCTACAAACGCAGACTGATCTCTAGGCGTAGGTTTCTTTTGCTCCTATGCATACTAAAAAAGCGGAAGCTACGCGATGACTGGATCCCCTTCGCTTTTAATCCGAGTTTTTACTGAACGAGAAAGCTGGCGGTATTTTCGCTTTACCATGCCCCAAATCGAAGATCTCCGAAAGCGCTCCTTGATCCCTGATGTCGTTATCACAACAACCCGTGACCGTGCGTCCGGGGTAGAAGCTCTGTGCATTTTGCTGCGTCGTTTTGTGTACCCTTCACGGTAGATTGATCTGCGTATGTTTTTTATGAAAGCAGTACGCTATGAAAGCAGTTTATGCCAAATCTTTATGTGGGTGCTAAACCACATCGACAAGACATCCAGATAGCTTGTGAAAGAATGGAATCGGACCTGGCTTACCGAGGAGGATTTCGTTATGTTTGCTGGCGCCATAGCCGCAAAAGGTGGTATTTTACGCGGATGTTTTGGCTTCATCGATGGGACTGCACGTCCAATCAGCCGCCCTAAACACTATCAGCGCCAGTGTTTTAGTGGACACAAGCGTCACCATTGCTCCAAGTGGCAAGCTGTGTTACTGCCAAATGGGATGATCGGCAGTTTGTACGGCGGACACCGAGGCTCCATGCATGACAGCACTCTTCTAACCTCCAGCAAAGTTCTCGACGCGCTGCAGCAAAAATTTACAACGTTTGTTGGTCCTGACGGATTCTGTATTTCTGGTGACTCGGGATACGGAAGAGCAGAACTTGTGAAAAAGCCATTCTCAAAAGTAGAAGTACTGAATGATCGTCGAAAAAAAGCATTAAATAAAGCTATGTCTCGGGTGAGGGAGCCTGTCGAGTGGGGCTTTAAAGAGGTGGTTTAAAAATTCGCGTTTCTTGATTTTAAAAAGCAGATGCGGATGTACGTCAATCCCATCAACAAATTATATCGTGTGGCTGTCATATTAATCAGTTGTCATCATTGTCTCCACCACAATCAGGCTAGCCAGTATTTTGATCTGGAGCCGCCAAGTCTGGAAGAGTATTTGGTAACGTTTGCTGAATAAAGTTGTGTGCTGCTGTCTTTTTTTATTACAACTCGGAGTTCAAATCCACGTTACTAGTCACCACTTATTTTCTCTTTTAAGAGCAATTTCACGCTCTCTGCAGGCGATTTCTCGTTCTTGCAAATCTAATTCGCGCATGCGAATTGTGTACTTTCGCTGATCTTCTGCGCTTCGGAGCTCCTTTTTTTTTGTTCCATTTGTTTCTCTCTTAGCTGTTTTTCTTGCTCCATCTCCCTTTCTTTAAATTCTCGTGTCTGTTTTAACTTCTTTTCCTTGATGCTGCATTTCAGTCTGTCGCCTTTTGCAATAGCTTTGACAGCTTCCATTTCATCTGACGTTTTGGTCGGCTTTACTGCTGTTGGTCTGGTGCGCTTCTGTCGCTGTCTTCGGGCAGCCTTTTCACGTTCAAACGTCGCAGGATCATAATCCGGTTTTTGCTTTTTTTTCATAATCTGCTTTTTCATAAGATTTTTTCATAATCTGCTTCCTCTTCCGCAGCTGAATCAACCCATTCATCGTAATCAGACCCGTCAGTAGCTCCTGAAGCACTGGAAGAGGGGAGACGATAGTCCGCGAGATCATCCACGCGCTTCTTTTTAGTGAACGTCGATTCTCCGGCATTCTGAATGATGGCAGTTTCCGCGTTACGCTTCAGAGCCTCAGCTGTTTTCTGCTGCTTTTTCTGCGCAGTCAAAGCAAGTGCGTCCCGCTTACTCTCCGATAAAGAAAGTAGCGCTGCTTCGATACGGCCGTAGATTTCCTCCGTGCCAGTTCGTACGAGATTTCAAAGATCTTGTTTGACGAATGCTTCTATCAGTTCTTTTACTCAAACCTGGCAGGCGCGATCAGTCAACGGTGTTTTAAATTTCTACAAGAGGACAAAAATGAAATAAGCTTGGTGCAGTAACCCAGCGGATATGAAAGCTATTCAAAATTCACCTTAGTAGCAGTAAGATTTTCGGCGATCTTTTCGCAGCATTCCCCAGGGTTGCGGGCTGCGTATGGGTTCTATGCGCTCGATTCTTCCGCCAACAACAAATCAAGCTCCGCGGTAAAGCGATTTCTGCGGTTCTTCTTGTTTGAGAATGGGAGCTATTATCGACATCCGCCACTTCGAAAGTATTTAAGAATCATCAACTTCTTTCACAAAAAATTTTAAATGCAATTCGTTCTTAAGAAAAACACTTGTTGCTAGCGTAATGGTCGACCGCCATCAAGGTGGCAGCGCATGAACAACTGCATTTGCTGCACACAGCTGAGTTTTCACCGCCTTCCATTATATTTTTTTCTCTTGCGCTACGGGAACTGGTTGCCTTTGCAGCGTCGAGATTTAAGATTAAAAATGTTTTTCCTATTCGAAAAAAACATATCCAGTGAAATTAGGTTGCACAGGAACTAAGAGGAGCCTCTGGAAGTGGGCTACCATACAACTAGTTTGTATGGTATTCGCACTTACCATACGCTCCCACTTAACCATGCAGTATGGTTAAGTGTATGGCTACGGTTAAGTGGAGAGGTTGCAAAAAATGTCTATTGTGGTACGGCATTCGTGCACAAAGTTTAAATTGCCAAAATTCGGGGGTAGGTACGTATATTATGATTAACGTATCATTTTGTAGAAAATTTTACGTTGATTAGATCTTTTCTCTGAATCCACACCGAAAAGTTTACCATTCGCTAAAGAAAGTTGTAAAACCCGACGTGTGTAAGGTATTTCTCGTAGACTGCTATGCTATGCGCCGTGGCAAAAATCCACCAAAGGTGCAAATCTTAGTCCAGACCAAATCACACCTCATTAGCCATGTGCCGGTTGTCAATTATCGGCGTTCAACTGGCTGACGATGAGGTTATAGCGACCTAAACATCACGGCTGATCCAATCCTCCTGGAGGGATTGGATGGGTGTTATTCACGCAATTCGGTTCATTTTATGGACTTAAGCGTCGTGCTCAGTGGCAGCGTTTACATATCCAATCTGCCATAAAATCCATTGGAAGTTGTTGCTTTTCAGTGCCTAAGCGCAAGTCCAAGCACGAAAATAATATTATTTGAAATTAGAAATTTTAGTTTCTATCAAAAGGAGGGCTTAAAAAGCAAAGCGCAAAACGTATCGACCCTGATAACAGATACCCGATTTTCTGTTATTATGGTTCTAATCTGACTAGCGTGTGGAACTTTTTGGGAATTGTAAAAGGTACCACATATCGACATATGCCTTGTATAAGAAGAAGAATAGAAGAATTTCTCTCGTTCGTGCTAAGTTTTATTTTGGCCAAATCACAAATGAATCTTTTTCGGATAACTTTCCATATGTTACACTTTCAGACCAGCAACGAAAGCATTACAAACCTGTTTTTTGTTTAAAATGAAAAGTCAAGGACCGTTTTCATCCTACCAGAACATGCTTACAAAGAACTCTAAAATAACTATAGGTTATCACTTCCACACACAATAAGCCTTTTGACAACACTAACACGAGCACTCGGGTTAAGACTATGGTTAAAACTAAGGTCAGCATTCGGGTTTTTACTTTGGTTAGAACTAATGTTAGCACTCGGGTTAAGGCTCTGGTTAAATTAAGTGCAAAACGAAACGGGCTTACCATTGTTAAGCTGAAGTATTAGTTAGTTAGATAGTTAATTCGAAAAAACAACGATTCAAAAAAGTTTATTTTTTTTTATTGATTTTTAAAAAGGAAATGGTTATTCTCACCACCTTGGCACCCTCTTTTGCTATTATCACGACCTTTCACCACCTGTTGGCTATTCCCACCACCTTCCAAGAACTGAATTCTAACACCACCTTTTGACTATTGCCACCGCCTCTGCACACATCTTTTGGCTATTCTCACCTCTTTATTGCATTTTTTACACAGTAAGTTTTATCAAAAACGTTAGGGGCACTTTTTCTTTACGGTTGGGGCCGTCGTCGGCCGGAAAAGAATCTAGGCGCATCTTGTCCGTGCTGCAGCTGTTTGTCAAACGTTCTCGCATCTTCTTATTGCTGAGTTCGGCTTCTTCCGGTAAACCCTGGTAAATGATTTCAACTGCAAAAAAATGGCGAAAACGCTACAGTCGTATCCATTTTTTGCTGCCATACCCGAGGAAACAGAATGTCGATCGACTGGCCTTATTGGAAACTCAGTATCTTTTTTATTCACTCGCACTTTTTTTAAATTCACTCGCGATTCTGTCAGTTCAAGAACTTCTACAGCTTCTTTGGGATCCAACCGTCGAGTTTTCAACACGTTTTGCCAACCATCCTTGGTAAGAGGATAGTTATGTCGCATATTTTGCTTAGTCATGATGAGGCGGCGTTCTTTCAGCCGTGCCGCTACGGTTAGAGTGGCATTGCATTCGGCTCGCCGGGTATGCTGGAATGGTTTTCTTCCAGTTCTTTGAGCGTCATGCACTTTGTGGCAAATGCAGTCATATTTAACTGACTTGTATCTCATGATTTTGTACCTGCTATTACTTGTTAATACCGGCAAGTATTATTGGGTTTACTTGCCCGGCTTCTAAAGGTCGTGCGTCTAAACGCATAACGTTATACACATATGATTTTACAATCATTTTTATAAAAAAAAAGATCTCCGTAGGTATTTATATACATAATATTATTATTAAAAGATGTAAGAAAATGGGAATAGTCGGGAGGTGTAAAAGGTGGTGACAATAGCCAAAGGTGGTGGCAAAAATATTCTTAAAAAGTGGGTGCGAAAAGCCAAAAGGTGGTGAAAGATCGTGAGAATAGCCAAAGGAGGTGCCAGGGTGGTGAGAATAGCCATTTCTTTTTTTAAAATCATTCAGAAAAAATAAACCTTTTTGAATCGTTGTTCTATCGAATTAACTGTCCAACTAAGTAATGCTTCAGCCTAACAATGGTTAGCCCGTTTCGTTTTGCACTTAATTTAACCAGAGCCTTAACCCGAGTGCTAACATTAGTTCTAACTAAAGTAAAAACCCGAATGCTGACCTTAGTTTTAACCATAGTCTTAGCCCGAGTGCTCGTGTTAGTGTTGTCAAAAGGCTTTTTGTGAGTGGAAGTGATAACCTATAGATATTTTAGAATTCTTTGTACGCATACTTTGGTAGGACGAAAACGGTCCTTGACTTTCATTTAAACAAAAAACAGGTTTGTAATGCTTCCGTTGCTGGTCTGAAAGTGTAACGTATGGAAAGTTATCCGAAAAAAGATTTATTTGTGATTTGGCCAAAATAAAACTTAGCACGAACGAGAGAAATTCTTCTATTCTTCTTCTTATACGAGGCATATGTCGATATGTGGTACCTTTTACAATTCCCGAAAAGTTCCACACGCTAGTCAGACTAGAACCATAATAACAGAAAATCGGGTATCTGTTATCAGGGTCGATACGTTTTGCGCTTTTTTTTTAAGCCCTCCTTTTGATAGAAATTAAAGTTTCTAATTTCAAATAATATTAATTATTTTCGTGCTTGGACTTGCGCTTGGGCACTGAAAAGCAACAACTTCCAATGGATTTTGTGGCAGATTGGATGTGTAAACGCTGCCACTGAGCACGACGCTTAAGTCCATAAAATGAACCGAATTGCGTGAATAACACCCATCCAATCCCTCCAGGAGGATTGGATCAGCCGTGATGTTTAGGTGTTATAGCGTAGTCAAGCTGAACAGACAGAGCTACTTTTATAAGAGGTCCGGACAGAGCGTAGAAACTTTTCGCCGATGCGATGTAAGAGCACAAGCCCCACCTCAGAACCAGGCAGAGGGAGGGCTTCTAGCCTTCCAAATGCCACGTATTCCAGTTTACTCATTCCATTTACAACTAGACTGCAGTTACACACAGCGCTCGTAAATTCAAAATATCCCTGTTGTTATCTGGTGGCTATTGCTTATTAAAGTGTACAAAATTTAAATTCTATGTGGATATAGGTATAAGTACAATAACCATGAAATTATTGTGACATAATAATATGCTATTTGTATGTGTATAAATTTATATGTTATTACTATATATTTTATTAACCTTCAGTATAGTGGACAGCGTCACAAAACCAATATTCACTGATCAGATATGTTATTTGTAATAATAACCGATTTATTAATGTTATCGGGAATGGATGCCTTAGCAGTTCCACAGAAAGATTGTTCCATAACCATTGACTTGTATTGGTAGTTGGTACTGGTAAATCCAGTGTGATGCTGGAACTCGATTCACGATAGCCATTGGTCAGGCATGCTCGCTTTTACGATAGCTATTGGCGAATCAAACGTTCGCGTCACCAGAACCACGCCGCTGGTGGGAACCAATGACCGAATATAAATTCTTTTACAATAAATTAATTCATTTTATTTGTATTAATAATTAATCAATCGCAAAACGTCGTAGACTCGTAGCTGCTCATTGTTAACGTTTTCATCAGTTCTCTGAATCCCTATTCCTTAGTATCGCCGCTGACAGGAAGGCATACAATGGATTCGATGGAAAACATACAATAATGCAGTAAATGCACAGAACTTGAGTACAAGCAGTAACAACAGTAACTTTTACAATTTAACCAGGATGGCAGTACGTATCTTTATTCTTTAGCAGTACGAGGACATTTGGGTGCTGTGAAGATACCCTGCACGATTAGGCTGCGATGAACAGCTGGCTAGCCGTAGCTCGGTCTGAATGCAAACGGCTATAAATTTAGCCGGCTGTTCATCGCAGCCTAATCGTGCAGGGTATGTTCACAGCACCCAAATGTCCTCGTATCGCCAGTATGCACTGGACACTGGACAGCACACCCAACAGCAGGGCGACACGATGAAACCATGAAATCATTTAACAAATCTGTCCCTCAAAACAACAGGTGAAAGTTTGGCGCATTTTAACTATATCTCGCATAAATAAACAACAAGAGCATATTCGGACGACAACAAAATTCGATGTCGTACATCTGAGCTGCAAGTACCACAAAATAACATTGGGCTAACAATACATTCCCGTCACCCACCACATAATAATTACTTATACGGGCCCACCAGCATGCATTTGGCCGATTAAAAATACTTAAAACACTGGATAAAATATAAGAGGCATCAGTTTGGTCACTTGGGAGCGCCGACTGGTGACACACGCCGTGAACAATGCAGAGGAGATCCACACGCACAGAATACTGCACCACAAATATACTCCATGCTTAGTAGGAAAACAGGATCCACAAGGCCCAAGACAGGAACAATACAGGAACACTTCAACGCACCAACGGATCTATTAATATTTCGTCTTACTCAGGGACGAGCGTTTGCTCCGGCCGCTGCCCGATCGACCGTGCGTCTCCGTGGGGGTATGGTGGGACGGATCGCGACTGCGGAGGCGGCGCAGCGAAGTTGTTTCTCCGGACTTTCTCTTCCGTCCGCGCTGTTGTTGCTGTTGCTGCCCGGTCTTCTTCGTACTGACGGTCGTGGCTTTCTTGGATGCCTGTTCCTTGGAAGAAGACGCGGCGCGTCCCTTCGATCGCGGACGAAGCAGCCCGATTCTTAGGGGCGGAAGCGGCGCGTGTACGGGATTGGGAGCGGGGTCGACCGCGCTTCTTCGACTCGCTCTTCGTGTCCGATGGCGTGGCGGCTTTGGTGCGGGGCGAGACTTTTCCCACAGCCTTGCTGGGCGAAGCGGAGGGTGTAGGCTTTGGTGCAGGACGACGCTTTTGTCGCTGACGCTTCGGATGTCTTGGAAACGGACGACAATGGCCGGCGTTTCATGATAGGAACGGGAGTTTCTTTATGGAAAAGATGACTGACAGAATCGCTGAGGTAACTGCCTACGGATTGGGTTCCTTTTCCGGTGCGGCTGGTGTGATTATGATGCACCGTCTCCGGCATTTCCAAGGCATGCATGTCTTTGCCCGACAGATCCAGAGCGCTTCGGGTATGGAACGCCGGCGCCAAATCATCGCCTAAGCGTGGAAGCATAATTCAGTCTACGTTCTGAAAATTATTAACGCATAAAGAATTTAACAAAGCTCCAAAATATTTAAGCAAGTGAAAATCACACCTCTGCAACTAAATTTCAAAAATTAGAACACAATAATTGGCGCAAAAATGACTTGCATTCGCAATAAAAGTTCGCAATATTCGTTTTTATAAACTTCGTTTTTATATTCGTTTTTATAAATTTTATAAAAACAGTCAAAAAAACAGATTTCAGAACGCATAACACAAGCCAGATTCCCTTTTTCAGTTCAAGATTTCAAACGCTTTGATACCAGAGTTGTGTATTACAACAGGGGTGTGGCTTGGCACCATATCCATTAAGATTGGCACCATTACCAGCGCTCACAATCGGTATGCAAGGCTGCAGAGGTAAGAACGAATTCCAGTAATTCTGATGGAATGGACTGTGAATCTGGCGTTGCCACCCTGGAAATGGATAAGTACAAGGAGAGCATACTATATATTGTATACTTGTATAGTATGCTCTCGTACAAGTAGTGCACAAAATCTCAAAACCAAAATCCGCCGTCACAGAAAAATTCAGAAAAAGATGTTGCTTTAGCTTTTATCAGATTTATGTTTTAGCGATTTTCCCAGAGATTTTGTTTCAAGACTCAGATTTCGAACAAATTAATGTGATTCCGTAATAGCGTAATGGCTGCTACAGCTGGAAAGCCATTTTACGGGCAGTTGGTGATCGGTCCACCAGGGAGTGGGAAAACTACATACTGTTTCCACATTGCGGAGCTCTTAAAAAGCGTCTTCAACCGCAAACTAGCCATTATCAATCTGGATCCTGCCAACGAGAAGTTACCTTTCGCTGCTGATGTGGATGTGAAAGAACTCGTCTCCGTGGAAGATGCGATGGAGCTGGAGAATCTAGGCCCCAATGGAGCGCTGATGTTCGCTGTCGAGCAGATGGAACGCGACGTGGACTGGCTGATATCTCGCATCTCTGCTTTACGCGATACCCACTATTTCCTCTTCGACTGCCCGGGACAAATTGAATTATACACCCATCATAAATCGTTCGAGCGAATCTGCCAGCTCCTCATCAAGAAATTCGATTTTCGTCTTGCAGCGGTGCATCTGGTGGATGCGTATTACTGCAGCGATCCAGCCATGTTCATCTCCGTGGTGCTCACTGCCTTGAGTGCCATGATGCGCCTGGCGCTTCCGCACGTCAACGTTCTCTCCAAAATTGATCTCGTGCACAAGCTGGGCAAGTTGGATTTCATTCTGGATTATTACACTGATGTAATGGATATGGAGCATCTGGTTGCCAGACTGGATGATGAGCCATTCGGGAGGAAATACGCCAAGTTGAGTAAAGCGATCTCCGAGGTGGTGCAGGGCTACAGCTTAGTCAGTTTTGTTCCCATTGCCGTACAGGACCGCGAGTCGCTTTATAACCTGGTAAAGATGCTGGATAAGGCCGTAGGATACTCGATGTCGGAACTGGAAGAACGACAAGTGCGCCAAACGATGGCGAATTTGCCAGCAAATGCGGGTGAATTTGATTACGGTTTAATTAGTAATATGGAGGAAAAATATATTTATGCTCAAGACGATGATTTTCCTGAAGACTGAATGAGAGCTTTCGGGGTTCTGATGACAAAATTAACAACTGCGTTCTGTGATATTTTAACTTCGTCATATGGACAACTGGATTTGCTTAATAAAACTGGAGATAAATTCTTTCTTTTCGTATTTTATCGATTTTTCTGCGGCATTTACTTATTTGCATTCATTTGTTCCTTGTGGAGCAATAAACATAAACAATGGGTATAAAATTGACTATTGAGAAAGTATTTTTAAAGCGGACTTTTTGTAGAAATAGGTACGCGTACTTAAGTGACATACATAAAAGTGGAAATCCGTCTGATAGTTCAACACTGTACAACACAGTCACTACACAGTGTACTTGAAGTACAGTATACAGAGCATCCAGATTCAGGAGACAGAATCGGTTGAAGTATCGTTAGCAAAGGTCGTGTTACTAGAGCCGGTATCCGCCATGTCGAAATATTTTTGCAGGATTATTGGATCACGGGTCGTACTGACAACTTCGGGTCGATATTTAGCATGTATCTTTTCGAAGAAATCTTGTAGCACCCGCGCCGTATCCCAATGCGCGCTCAGCCAAACTTGGCGTCTATGCGATCGCAGAGTGTCTTTTGCTTCGTCCGGGGTCAAATTGTATCGCTGCAATTTCAGAACGATTTTGAACATCCTCGTATTGTTATTATGAGGTAAAATGCAAATTTAAGTCAACACGACAACCGGTGTGAAATGAAGATCACTAGTCAAACCAGTTAAACTGCAATTGTCTGCAAACATTTTAGCACAGATTATACCTCCATCAAATACGTCGCCGCCATAACCGCGCTCCGAAATTTTCCTGCTTTACAATGTACATAAACCTGCAAACAGCAAACTCATCAGGTTAATTCTATTCACCTGTTCTGAACTTCTGTGTAGTCAGCTCTCACATGGTACAGTATTGTGATTAGGCCGGTAAGTACTGTATATGTTTCCGCTTATAAATTCTTGAGGGGCACAGACATATCGTAGGAAGTGGATGATGCTACTTACGGAATGATTTCTGCTGCATATATGGTGGATGAAATCTAAGCCTTCTTCCACTTGATTCCACGTGGGATGTGCCAGGTAGTCAGCCACCGGAAGTTGTAAAAAACTGACTCCCCAACTGTCCAGTTCATCTGGAGTCGGATACCATAATCTGTTCAGTTCGAAATTTTGATTCATGGATAGTACTCCTCGAACGCCTTCCTTTGCAATTAACTGCAAGATTCGTCATAAAAATCAATCTACATCTCAACATCAATGCTTCGGGTCTTCTATCATATATCATACACTACACAGTTTCCCACACCTCTTTAACCGTCGAACGAAATGGCAGAGCTCCTGCCACCAAACAATCGTCAATCCTGTCGTACCAGTTTTGATTTGTCATCTTATCGGAAACCAAAGTGGCCAGCAAAGACGGGAAGAACAACACCTTTTCAAAAAACTGCCCCATGGTTTCTGTATATTAGCACTTTGGCAGCAGGAGCGTAATCACCGACGGAATCAAAATACCAGCTGGTTTAGGCTTTACCCAAGCCGTCGAACTTTCACATAGGCAAACAAATATGCATGCTCATGGATGTGCGGACAAGCGTCACAAAAGGCGATCAGATATCCTGTATGACAAGAAAACCGACTACAACCAAGTGTTTAAATTTCATACATATGAACAGGTAAAAAAATCAGCAATTCTAATTATCACGAAGTCACACCTTCGTCGCAATCAAGCGGCCAACACGTTCACGAATTCACGGTAATGCACGCACTATAACGTTATAAAAAATATCAGCACTGTGAAGAAATGCCTCCATCACCGTAAAAATTTACCAGTTTAATCATTTGATCTGTTTTGGCAGAGGGTGTGTCACCACCCACTAAAGTGGACTTTCATACTGCTTCACCAACTGATCCACACAATTGACGAGCATCTGCAAGTCCTGTGGCTTGGAGAAGCGGTGGTCGGCGGATTTCGATATTAGCACCTGCACATCGGAAGATTCCAGTTTATTCATAATCTGGCTGGAATCCGAGTACGATATCACGTCGTCTTTGACACCGTGGAGTAATCTGACCGCACATCGGATCGGAATTGTTTGGTTGGTGTATACGCTTTGGGATAGCGATGATAATGAGTCCAAGAAGGCTCTGCGGATTGGAAAATCACCCCACGGTCCAATTACAGCCTTGTCGGCGTCCAGAAGAGCCCGGTGCTGAAACGGAGCAAAGAAATAAAATTCTGCTACTGCACCGGTCTTGCTCGAAAAGCTCCAAAACCATTAACTGTGTTACTCGTATCAATGATTTATACGGTATGTCGATAAATTATCGACGATAACTGATCAGAATAATGAAACCATTACACATACCTAAAAGTAAACGCATACTAGTACAAAAGTTATTTACTATGCGTATAACAATGCACAACATTAAAATTAAACCGCAAATACTGGTATTCAGCTTACAAAGTCTTTATATTAATATACAGGCCATGCAAAGACACTTTGTGCAAATCAGAAGATAAGAAACCAAGATTTCAGAACCATTTCTAATTTCTTTTTGAATATTCGTTTTTATCGTTTTTATCTAAGCGCACAATTGGCGCGACAAGTGACAACGATACCGTGTACTGCATAAAAATAACTTACAGTATTTCGTAGCTGCTAAAGAGTAAAGAGGGTAAATGACCAAGTGTCAGTATTACCATAGAAAAGGATAGCACAGTATTATCCTTTTCTATTGTCTTACTACAGCTTAAAAAAGGAAAATTAATCTAGAACGAAAATTGCTGCAGCTTTAGTTTACCCCGCGTACTGTCCGCGGCTTACCTCTGGCGAAAGATTTTTCTCCAAATCAGTCCACCGGTCAATGGCTGCAGCAACTCCAACTAGACCAAAAACACGCTCCGGTCGCTTCAGCGCAACGTGCATCATTAATCCGCCTCCCATGCTGGATCCGACCAAGATCTGCGGTTCACCAGGATTGGTGAAAGTATCCACCACAGTCAAGACATCATCCAGCCATTCGTGCAGAGTCATGGCATCCAGCTTACCGGAGGATTCTCCGCATGCACGATAATCAAATCTGCAACCCAAAACGCAAGAATTATCCATGCTGTATACGGTACGCGATATGAATTCCGCTGAATGTCTGTGATTGCAAAGTCCACAAAAATCACTGCGCATCCATACTGGTACGCGTACGGTGACGGTCGTACCTGATGTAGGGATGATCGTAAATTTTGCAATATCTCTCCAGTATTTTGGCCTTTTCGCCAGTCATATTGGATAGAAACCCGGGTAGGAAAATAACTCCGGGTAGGTTGGATCCGTGCGTGCGTTTATACGCCAATTTGTCGCCGTTGTGCAGCATGAAGAAGTCCGTTTTTGGTTCTTCATGCTCGCATGCATCCTGGCTAAACAGCCGGACATTATGGTTTGCGCTGGACATTTCTCCGGATGCTACGTTCGCCAATGGCAATAAAGTTCGCGCAAATGCGTGACGGGCTCGAAGGAACCGATACGAAAAACTGACAGGCATTGCGGACTGCAGACTTGCACTGCTGCAGAACAGTTGGATCACCGTGCACGGTCGCATGCAGTGGTGTGACGATCTCGTTGACTGTAGTACAGTATCGCTATCAGGAGTGTTATCAGCAGCGGTGACATAAAATTATTGATACTCCATTATCAGCTGTTAGCGTGTTCGCACTCGGATCCCAATAATCAATCGCAAAAAAAACATCCTGTAAAGATTCGGGGATGGTACAGACACTTCCACCGATACGAGCACAAAAACTACCGTATGATTAGTACACGAAATTGCTCGGTATAAAACAACAAGTAATTGTGCAGGACCTCAGGCTTACTATAACGGATTACGGGATTAGTAGTTAGTACATATAACAATGGGAATGAATTTTTGCTAACAGACCAAAATTTCTTCGTAACTGAAAAACGACATCGTATGTCGTGCTGTGTAAAACATCTTATGAATGCTTATTGATTACAGACAGACTAAAAGACTAAGTTACAATCATGTACAGTACAGTATGTACAAGCCCAGCACGGATGAATAATGTCTTGGGATTTCGAGCATGTTAAAAGGTTAACTGCATGTGTATTAAATAATGGCACGATGTTTATTACAATAAGGAGGCACGAACAAAATAAACAGGCGTGAGCAGAACCTGTTATTTTTGCTAATTTGCAGTTCGCTAATTTCGATGACAATTCGATAATATAATAACACATAATAACAATCCGGGGATTTACAAACAGCCCATGTTAAGCTAATGGCCACCATGGTAACAAGCTTTTGAGTGACCACTGGACTGTGGGTACTGAGCTTTCCAAAAAACTGATGATGCAGGAACACTCACGACACTGAGAGGATTCTGTAGCACTTTAGAGCGTGCAGATTGGATGTGTGGATCGGGAGAACATTCGAGACAACGGCAAAGTGTCGAGGACCCTTGTTACTTAGTTAGTATTCATATAACCAGTTTACGGGATCTACATCCGTACACAAACTTTTGCGGCGCAAGTCTGTTACGAAATGCACACTTCGCAACGGTAGATCGCATTGGTCACAGCCGCAAAGAAAACTACGAAATTTAAGAAAGAGAAAATCTAAGAAAACTTGAGAAACCCTAAGAATACCTAAGAATGCCTGAGAATACCTAGAAAACCTAAGAAACCTAAGAAACCTGAGAATACCTAAGAAACCTAAGATATCTAAGAAATATCGTATATGAAAGAATACGTGGTATATCGATCACGCTGGTGGGATTGACTGCGATTACTGTTTGCACATGTTTCTTGAAATTCAATACTTTGTAACGTGCCGATGCCGAAGGCCGCGGTCTGTCTCGGTCTTTCCGAACGGTCCGCGAACAGACAATGCATTTACCATGTATGTCTATGGGGGCCCATGGCAACAATTTGTTTTTTGGGGCTACTCTTTCCCTTTTGGGGCGTATCGATGGCACAATAGCGTGAGAACATTTGCGCCGTTGAGACGAATTTAACGCACTTGGCCGCGTCGAAATCGGTTCAGCCGTTCGCCCAAACATTGGCTACATTATCAATCGTGTATACGTGGTTACGGATGTAGATAAATATGTATTGTATGGTGTATTGTATTGTATGGTTTAGATCTAGAGGCTATTCGATATCCAACAAATCATTAATTTTTGGTTTTTTTAATGCTGCACAGCTGACCGGTGCAAAATGGAGATTAATTAATTCAAATCTAAAAACATTCAAAATAAAGTGTTGAGCTGTTTATAGCTTATGTGGGGTACCAGTAGTGAGTACAAGAGAATACTTCTATCTATATTATTAATAAAAATTATTTGTACTATTTACTACTATTCGTTTTTTTTATTAAATTCTATTCGTTACTTTTATTTACTGTTCGTTTATGTCTGCATATATAATATTAGTACTGTAATTGTGCATCCTACTAATTATAAAATTAGCTCCTGAACTTGGAGAAAATTAATATTCAACCTATTTGGGTTTTTTTCTTGTCTACTTCATAGCAGTTTTAAGATCAACTGCAAGATAAACATTCTACGTACATATCCGTACTGCATACCTTGTTTAGCATTCATTGTAAAACATTTCGTAAGTATTAATTCCTGAATACGTCGTTACTCGTATTAAGCTTGGGACTTTGCAAGTTACATGCTAATCGTAAATGATTGGCACGGCCTCAAGATATTGCCTGACATCCATATACCGATCTACATAATTATGTGGATTGGGCTCATCCCATTTCTTTTACAATTCTTTTTCTTCTTTCAAAAGTGAGACAGTTTTCTTGAAGCGCTGTAATTGTAAGCTTCGCCGACGATGTACTTTTTTTCTGCGGTTTATGCACAATTAATGCCTAAGACCATTGCTGCGAACTTTCCTGGTTTAGAATTTTACTTCAGATGACGATGTTGCTGTTATATCGTTTAATATCCCGTTGTCGTAAACAATAGGCGCAGCCCTATGTTACCGGTATGCATGGCATTGTGTGCAGTACGCATTCACTGAATTCATGCAATATAGATATTTAGGATTAGATATAGGCATTCAGAGTACGTGGAATCATTTAGATTATAATTATATTAATTGAAATAATTTTTTTTATATTTGAAACACGTGCGACGGTTTTGTTTCTACATTGTGTTGATTTTGCAGCCAATCGTGCCGGTGGATAAATAGGCCCAATCTGCACCGTACCAACCACTATCCCAAAAGTGCCTCATCGAGAAAACGTTAAGCCCCAGCCACATTTTCTTGAGCATCTGTAATTTAATTTAACTGATTGTGCATCCCATGCACTTAATTAAGAGTAAGTCGTAAACGCGGTAGCAAACAACTATCTATAATTGTCCCTGCTTAAAGCTGTGGCCGTATTATTAGTAATTGCAATCCAGAGAAGCTAACTTAAAAATATTGCTGTGTTTCAAGGAAATATTACGAGACAAGTATCACCACATAGAAGAGTCCGAAAGTGTTTCAGTTTACTGATTAATTCTTCGCTGTGCTCACATGCCTGCAGTACTTACTGGTCCGAATAAAATTATCGTAAAGCCTTAAACTACAATTACACCGTAACTTTGTGATTTTTATAGAACTATTGTATTTTGGTGAGGTATGTGGTATGTATCTGTTGTCCGCAGATGTGTATTGTACACAAGTACAGTGTACTCTGTATAAAACCGTGCGACACTTTCTGTAGCCGTCTAGATTTGTGTGAACTTCACCGCTACAGCTTTTGGCTGGCAAAAATTGAGAAGAGACATTTTTTGCTTATGTCAATAGCTCTAATCAATAATCAGCACATACCTTCGTTTGTAGCGAAATACCTTAAAGCCGGAGAGTCATATATGCACTTGTCAAAAAAGTAATAACAAAACAGGTTTTCGATTGTTATAAAATTTGTGATTCTCCGGCTGAACTTTGCCTCCAGCTAAACGTTTATTGCGGCGCATTTTGCAGCGCGTCGGCATTTTCAACTAACAGGCAAAGCGCGTCTGCTGCTGCCCAGATGTTCAACAGCAACGACAGAGTTATTCTGGTACCTTTAAGTTTACTTGTTGGACTTGACTTTTCCCATTTATAGCATCGTCTGCGTTATATTTTTGTGCTCGTCGCAGTATAATTCAGGAAAAATGGATCTTTTTGGAGGAAAAAAGAAGTGCGCTGGATGCGGAAACAAGATTTCCGATAAGGAGGTAATCAACTTTTTCTTTTTTGCATTGATCAAGTTATCTTAATTGGTCCTTCTATGAGCAAGAACTTTAAAGATGCAGGCAATTTCGGCGGGTTGTAAATAATGTATACGTCATCTAAGGCTTTTGTTTTCTTCTAGCCTAAAATCGATGCGATGAAAAAGCATTACCATGCCGCTTGCTTCGTGTGCACCAATTGTCATAAGCCAATCAAGGGCGACTTCCGTCCGGTGGATGACAAACCCTGGTGTGAAGATTGCTTCATTCGGCAAAAAGCGCCGAAGTGTTCAGCTTGTGGAGACAGTATCCTTGGTAAGTGTAAATTGCTATCCAATTTAAAACAACCGCTCTCACTAGCTGATATTGATTATGGATCCTTTATGTTAAAAGTTTAGTGGGGTTTTGTAGCTAGCCAGTTAACGGTAAATCGTAAGAGGAACGTATCTAAACTCTAAGATTTTCGAGAGAAATGAATATACACAACGCACAAGTAATAAAAGTTTAATATCTTTCATCATCGCAATAACGAAAGTGAGCGCGTGCCTATTCACTTTTTCCACCTTATCCACCCTTTTTTTATGACAAGCTCATGCGAGCTAGGCAGTGTTTCCGTTGCAAACTTGTTGCTTCTATTGTTACGACATAAAACTTTATTCACACAATCCAAGTTCATAGCACAAAATTGGACGGTACACAAACGCTCACATATACAAAGGCAGACTTTCGAAATCCCCTCGAGTGTTTAATGCCACCGGCGGTCTTTTTTGTTTATTGTGACCTTTTCTCAAAATACAGGTGCAGCGGGGATGGTACCGGTTTAGCGATTTTGTTTATGTTTTCTCTGAGCCCTGGATATAGCTGGTTGGCGGTAACATTTAGGCCAACAAAATTGCCGCACGTAGAGTAAGAGCGGTATGTTTGTATTGTAGACATAAACGCGCACAGCAATAACAAAATATGGATGTTCTTTATTGCTCCATACGCACGTACTCATTCAGGTCTTTCAATTAAAGAAGCAACTGCAGACGTAAAATAAACTGCAACAATTTTTTGAACATCATTTACCTGTGTATGGTTCAACATGAACATGCCGACGTCGCAAGGCTCGTCGCCGCATACCGAATGATCCGCGAATGAGATTTGCTGAAATACATAAGTATTTTGACTTACTATCAGGCCTTTCTACAGTACATCTTGACATCCTGGCATTGCACCTTTAATTTGGCTGTTCTGCTGTGAAAAATTTGCGGCCACGTTTTCTTCTGATTTTTTAATTATTTTACAGTAATTTTGCGATCAGAGAATGTTTCGTGTGGTACAGGCTTTCAGTATACAGGCACATACGGGCCCTGCATGGACCTGAAGTTTGCATCCATTTCGTTCGCAACTTCACACCGCACTAGTTATGATCATCCGGTTCATCAGGCCCTCTCACTCTTTAAGTATTTGCTGTAAATTCGGGTGAATGCATAAATTTCCCATGCGAACACAAGGTTCCGATTGTATTTACATTCGATAAACCGTTTATTGGCGTGTCGATTTTTGTCGGAAGCAATCAATTTTGTTCGATATGAAATGATTTGTTGCTCGGAATATGTCTATCCGTCGTTTACTGGCTTGCTCATTCCAGTAGACTAGAACGGCATCCAAGCGGAAAATACTGCACTGCATGCTGGTGCTGCATATTTCTTCGTTGATTTAGTCAATTTTATAGTAAACTTATTACATAAATGCGTTTACATTATAAAATGTCTAGTGTTATCGCATGCATTTAACCTTGACCGCCGGGCCCAGACAATCGCTTAGAACGCTAATAAACACTAACCAAAATCTACAAAACTTATTAAAAGCGTACTTCTAAAATGTTTGGATCCATCATGATGCAATCCAGTATGTATGGGTGCAAATCGGAAGTAGAAAAACTTTCTTGTATGTAATTTACGCAAACATATAGCCATTTCCACTCATTTTGTCAGATAACACTTTTGCATTCAAAATTTTGATCTTTTCCAGACAAACGCATCAAGACCGACGATGGGCGTTCATTCCACGAAGAATGCTTTCACAACGCCTCCCAGGGCGTCTGCGCTGGCTGCGGGCGTAAAATCGGTCTTGACGAGGTAACGTTTTGACAGTTTTTCCTGCACTGTCTTCACGTTCGGCAATTGATTAATTACTGTACCTAGCAAAATTTTTGTAACGGCCTAGTTAATTTTACTGTATTGCAGCCGGTGACCGAAGCGTTGGGTAAACAGTTCCATCAGAACTGTTTCCGCTGCGGCGAATGCGGTGGTGATCTGCCGAAGGAATTCCATATGCGCAACGATGTTCCAATCTGCAACAAATGTCACAAGAAACATAAGGACGCGGATAATCTAGAGCGGGAGCGCGTCAGCGAGACGGTGGTGCGCGAAGAGCGTCCCGATGGCAGCCGGCATACGGAGACCATGGTGCGCGATGACGCCGGTAATCCCAACTTGAAGGAGGTGCGGGATTATCGCGAGCAGACGACCACCATCCACCATGGCGGCGACACGGGAACGTTCGTCCGCGAAGGCGAGATGAACTATCCGGGTGAACGGGCAGGCCAGCAGGGTCAGCGCAACGATATCGGTCATCCGATCCATCGCCAGAGCAATCTGCGCACCGATGTCCAGGGGAATGACTGCTCGGTGTGCATTGAGCCGATTGCCGATGGGGATCATGTACACGCCAAGGGACGACATTTCCATCGCAACTGCTTTGATAGTGCGCATTCCGGTGAATGCTACGGATGCGGTGAGAAGCTCCGCTTGACCGAGGTGAGCTGCGAAAATATTGTATATAATGTCTTCGAATCACGCTTCTCTTTTTGATTTAAAATTTTCAGTACAGTATTTTTCCCGCTGCTTCGCTGTGTTGGTAACTGATGACCATACTGGTGTGAGCAGTTTATGTATACATCTATGATCTGTGTACACTGCACGGTACGGTTATCTATAGAAGTATACAAAATTTGACTTATCTGTTTTCGTTTTTAGCCATCAGTGAGCGTGGCGGTTTTGGGACGCGACTGGCATACCGGTTGCTTGAGTTGTGGACACTGCAACAACAAAATTACTGGACAGTTTCAATGGGCCAACGATCTGCCGCTGTGTGAAAAGTGTTATCGCGAACGCATTGCACCTGGTTGTGCTTCGTGCAATGAGCCGATCTTGGGAGACAAACTGAAGGCAATGAATATGTACTGGCATCCGGATTGCTTCAACTGTCAGGTAAAAATAATTATGTGTTCACTTTCTTATAGTTTCTTTTTCATGAAGATGACTATGCATGCGGCAGTAGCAATCGCTTAAAAATATTAAACTAAACCATAAGTAAATTCTCGAAAAGGTTTACCATACACCAGTGTGAAACGATAAACACTTACTCGTATATGTACAGATAACGCAGGCCTAGTTAATACTTTATCATTCGCACTTTTTGCACTTGGAAGTTTGTTTAATTTTTTAAGTTTGTGTCGTTTGTTTAACAGTGAAAAATAAAATGGTCACCATTAAATTGTTCATTGTTTATAGGTTTGCCATGAGCCATTGTACAAAGGCGGAAAAGAATATTTTAACGTGGATGGAAGGCCGTATTGCGCACGCGATGTCAATTCTGTGGCTCAGACAGTGGCTTAATTCAGGAATAGTGACCTTCATTCTGTTTCCATAACCGAAAACCTTTAGTGGTCCAACCGTAACAAGTCCCTTTCTGCGGATTCATTACCGACCCGCGAAACTACTAATACCAATATTATCTGCATTTTAATAAATCTGATAGCGTTTTTGGGTGTCTCTTGTTTCGTTCTACCATATTAATTTGTGACTAAATATTAAACGTCTGTTAGTTGGAATTTGGTGGTTTGATCAGTGACACTTGATTCAAGGCTGTCTTGAGGAGGTTGTTGTTTTGAATTGCATCTTGACGGTCAGATGTAGACCAATCTGTAGCAGCGCTATTCACTACTTACCTTACCTGAGTATACTTTTAACAATAAACAAATTAAATGTAATTTCATTTGAAACGCTTAAGTAAGTATAGTTGTGTAGTTTTGAGTAAACGCAGGAATGCGTTCTTGGCGAGCCAAAGGGCAACACATCATGCAACTAATACTCGCTCTAGCTCACGTGTGAAAAGAATTATTAAAACTGGAGTCACATCATATCCCGATGTTGAACAACACGTTTATAATTATTGCTATAATGCTCAAATGAATAACACTCAAACACACACACAAACAGAAGCGCCCCTCCTTAAAAAGAAGGGGAAGGGCTGGTGGGAAAACTGCAGACTTGACGTTCCCTGTATCAACTATTTTCCCATAATTTGGGGCTGCGGAAGGCAGCACGAAACTCGGAACAACATTAAGGATCAACATCGGACCACCCATATGCCCACTAATAAATCTCCATCTCGACAGCACATTAATATCGGTGGCCAGACGAAAAGCACACCGCTCATTAGAACTAACGCTAATTATCACCGTTCATTCCTTTCACGAAAACCGATCACTAACCATCCTACAGCCACGCATCCTATTAATGCTGATGCGGACGATTACCAGAAGCATCGGCTCGAAACAAATGATAACTTTCGCATAATTCAGTGACTATATATATATATTAAGTATGCAACCGCGCTTGAAAGTGAAAGAAATTAAGAAACCTTGCATTTGCGCAGAATTCGCTTGCTTACTCGTACGCTTGCAGCTGTTAATAAATTTATCCGTATAAATGCGTTCTTGGCGGGCCAAAGGGCAACACGTCCATTTATTACTTAAACTCCATTATGCACAGTGCACATTAATAATTGTACGGCACGTTGTGCAAAACATTCTGCATCCGATTTTTGAGCACAGACCAGTTTTCTGATAAGACTATGATGATAATTGCCTTTCCATTAAATTTCCATCGAGACGCAATATAGTGAATGAATACCGTGACAAGCCGCAGTCCTCGATACTAGGTGCTTCCACAATTAAGGTCTCCTACGGCGATTAGTGGGAGACAGTTTAGCATTCACAGGGCGCAGCAGTCGGCTGCAAAACTGCAAGAGCCAGACTACAGCTTTTGTCTCTTAAAACGAGATTTCTCCTTTGGGCAAATTTTCCAAATTTATCGTGATCTTGATTTCCTGTTTCTGCTCTATTAATGTATTTCTGCTGTTTTCCCCCAAATCAATGCTTTATATACTTTCAGTGTACTAGTTAATCGAATTAGTGCTAGAAACTTTAGAATCAGGCAGCTTTAGAATTTTAATTGCACAGTCCTATACGGAGTACGCATAGTTCATACCGGCCTTGGACACCGGAGTACAACAGAATACAGAGTACAAACTACAAAGTACAACAGAATACAGTACTACTTGCAGTTTGTTAAAATTTGTACTGGAGTAACAAGCTGTAATGCCATCAGCACGACACGAAACTACGACATCCGCACGGGACGATGGGCGCGACAAGCTGGAACACACAGAAACGATGGTACGCGACGATCGCGGAAATCCAAGTCTAACGGAAGTGCGTGATTACCGGGAGGGCACCAGAACCATCCACCATAATGCCACGAATGGAATGACCGGCTTTGCAGCTTGTCAAGGCGAGCGGAACGACATCGGTCATCCGACCTACCGGAAGAACAATTTTCGAACCGGTGTCCAAGGCGACGACTGTTCGGTCTGTGTCGAACCACTCACGGACGAAGAACGCGTGCAAGCTGTGGGGCGGCATTTTCATCGGAATTGCTTCGACACGGCCCATTCCGGTCAGTGTCACGGATGCGGAGAGAACATCCGTATAACCCAGGTACTCCAGAAAGTAAAGTGACTGACTAGTACTGTTAAATGATCTAACGGATGGCGATGATACATACGTTTTCACTGGGTTTGTGTACATTTAGCCATCGTTAACGGTATCCGCCCTCAGTCGGGATTGGCACACCGGCTGCTTGACCTGCGGTCAATGTCCAGATAAAATAACGGGAGAATTTCAGTGGTCGGGTGATGCGCCGCTGTGTGACAACTGCTACCGCGGTATTGCTCCCGGCTGCGCTGGATGCAATCAAGCGATTTTTGGGGATAAATTGAAAGCGATGAATATGTTCTTCCATCCGGATTGCTTCGACTGTCAGGTGGGTGGGACTGTGGGAGTACCACAAGTACTCGTATACTTTGGTGACCTTTTAATCTGTAGCACAAAGCCCAAGATAAAGACTGATGCCGTTAAATTGGCAAACGGTGGAAATATTGATCACGTTTTTTCTTCTTCAGGTGTGTCACGAACCGTTGTATAAGGGCGGTAAAGATTACTTCAATGTGGAAGGGAAACCTTACTGTACCCGAGATGTTCATTATGTGACCACTGCAGTGTACGCCCCAGCGTAATAGCGATGCACAGCGATTTATGTTTAGAAACATCTATATTTAAACATACCGGCAGGTTTTCGATGCTTGCAGGATATTCAATAATACTAATATCCACACATTCGAAGATTATTCCCTCTATATATTATAAGATTTAGTCATTTAGTCTATGTTGTGTTTTATAATTTTCGCGAATCGATTCTTTTGTATTTGTTGTGTTTTCGCCTTTCCGGTAAAGTGCAGTAAATGGTGATGCTCGCGCGGTTTATGTGCCAAAGCGCCATTTTATCAAGAGCATTATCCTGCAGTTATCTTCTATATTCATGCCCCCATTGTTTTTCAATCCAGAGAAAAAATTAATACTGATTAATTGTTATGAATTTATTAAGTATTAAAACTGCAGTCTGGTTAATTGTTATGAATTTATTAAGTATTAAAACTCCATGTCAGCACGATGTCGGATGTGTCGGTTCTTTTATTCTACCGGGAGAAGGAAAGCGCTCTAATGTACGATACCTCACAAAATTAATACAATTATAGGTAACTTGTAAGAATTAATTGACACATCGGACGGCCGCAAGTCGGTCCGAACCGATACCGGATTGAAATTGACATGTGACGTGCATTCGTGCACTTTCGTGAATCGTGATGCTATCAGTCAGCTGGAGAGAAAGCACATCGACGGTCAAACCAAAAGAAGAATTTCTTCAGTATTTATTCGAGGAAGTTCGTGGTATCCATTTTCCAGCTTCCTGCTTTTAAGATCCGCAGCTGCTGGATTCATTATCCACTTTCATCATTCATATTTTATTAACGTTTAGTGTATCGTATATCTGACATTTACTCGTGTTTGTCTATTTTCCATGTTCTACATTAAGTTCTCCGTTCTCGTGGAATTAAAAAAGTCAGCCATATTCCATTGGTGTCCCTTGCAACTTGTAAGTATGGCAGACAGTACTGTTCAGTGTTCAGGTTACTATAGCCTTGAAATGAGTACATTGGTTGATGGCATAAGTGGTTCATATTTAATATTCGAAAAATTTATTAATGCATGTTGTATAATAATCCTTGTAACCGGATCGGTGGAATCAGTGTTTCATGGATCATAAATTGTGGTTGTGCTTTTCGTCGTTAATCTTGAAACCTCGCAAGACTGTATGGTGTTTATCGTCATCGTTAGTGCTTGTCGAACTCTTTTCTCTTATTTTTTACTTCTGCTTGTTCTCGGAATTTTGTTGAAATGCATTGTTCTCTTGGGACTTGAATGGGAGATCCGGAATGTAAACTGATGCGCGAGCAAAGTGTCAAATAATTGCCTAACTGAAGTTGTTCGCACATGAAACCATCATAAAAATTAGTATTGCTTGCTGTAATTATAGTGCAGTACTTCCCTCGAAAGTCTAAGTCTGTAAAAATAGGAAAAGTCGGAAATTTTGTAATATAAATTTGTCTCTGTAACCAGCAGTCGACAACTAGGCATTCTGTCGGATGGCTCTTTGTCGTAACAAGGTTGATGTTGCTGATTTTTTTTTCTTTTTAGTTGCGTTGAATTTTATACTTTGTACGACATTCCTTGCATTTCTGTATGAAACTGCTAGTGCTGTCAGAAATGTGTATTTCCCGTTTTTTATTATAAATTATTCAATTTGCAGTTTTTTCCAGCACGAATCAGCGAAATCATCATTATTTTAATAACAACTGCATCGGATCAAGTAATATCCTTGAATAATGAATCATCGGAGCAACGGTTTTCACAGTCAGAGCGGTGCGAATGGAAGTCCTCCGAATGCGACCCTTTTCAGTGGATTTCCTAAAGCTACAGCTGCATCAAATCCCGCCATTGTGAATGGGCATCACGGAACGAACGGAAATTCTGCCAGTATTAACGGCTTGCACGGTGCCACAGGTGTGTGTGTGTGTGTAAGGAAAGACTGAAAGAGCATTGTTTTGTGAAAATATCCAACAGGCGAAAAGATATACTTGATTATTCAGACTTCAGTATTACTGTACAATTACTTACGTTCGTATATGGCGTGTGTTGGGTGTAGTTAAATCTTAATACATTTAATAATTTTGTTTCGATCAGTAATTGCTACCCGTTCAAACCTAGCATTTTTTAAAGTTTATGCATTCCATTACTTGCAGGTTGGTATTATTTTTTACTGTGATCAAAGGTGTGAACACTAATTTCGTGTTTTCCCACAGACGGCACTTCCCAACCTTCCCATGCGGGCGAGCGCATTCCAAATGTTGGTATCTTTTGGGACATTGAAAACTGCCGCCTGCCTGCGAATGTGCTGCCTCGTGATGTGGCCACTAGGATCCGGGAAGTGCTATGCGAAGGACAGGGCCGGACGTACGGGATTTTCCGCTGTTGCTGTGATATTGTCAAAATGAAGATGATGAATCCCTTGTTTTCCCGTCAGTTTGAGCAGGCCAATGTAAGATACCACTATAATATTAAACAAACCCTGAAAATGCAATGTAGATGGCTTTGTAGATTCGTCTCACTAACAGCGAATCTGGCGCTAAGAACGGCGCCGATTTTCAGCTCATCCAGGAAATGCGTGACTGGGTTTCTCGGGCTCATGTAGCCGATGTTATCGTGCTGATTTCAGGTACGAGTATTCTTGTCATTTTTCTAATTGGTTTCTTAAGTTTTAAGTTGCATTATGTCCAAATTATCAGGTGACATAAATTTCGCACACTGCTTGGACGAATTTCGCAGCAAAAATCGCCTGTACATTATCCTTTTACATCCTCCTCAAGTCAATCATGGATTGTTGATGCATGCCCATGAGCACTATTTATGGGAACAGTTCTTGAATGGGTTAGGCGCTTCGCCTGCCATTCAAGCCCAAACGGTACACGATTGATATCCAATTGCGAAACATACTTTCGAACCGTGCCTTTGTTTAAATTTCGCTTAATGTTTTAGATGGAAAGGGAAGAAGACAGACAAGTTATTATCCGAGGCATTCCACCGGGGCGCACTTATGAGCAGGTTTTCACGCGACTGAAGAACCTGTCCAGCAGCTATGGTGGAAATATTGATCTGAGGATGAATGGATTAAACCCGTACGCCATTATCACATGCTCCTCTATCAGCTATGCTAAGCGGTATGAGTGAAAAATAAACGCACAGTTGGTATTTCTTTTCGTAATAATATTATAAATATCAAAATTGTCAATATTCGTACTGCAGTTTTCGCAGTAACTGCCTTGTCATGGCTGAAGCGTGACTTAATTCATTCCATTGTTCTAACAATTAACTTCGATTGTTTTTAAGCTTTCTGGACGCCGTACACGTTGAAAGGCAGCTTGAATAAATTTACTGAGTATTTCTCTTCCTAGAAATATTTTTCTAATAATATTATAACAGTGTTACCGAAATTCATTATTATGATCCTAGCATTGTACGTTCGGTGTTTCTGGCAGGTTGAAGCATGGAATGCATCTTGAGGATTGTTGTGGCGGTAAACTGCAGACGTCGTACCGACCTGGTTCGTCTCTGTACAGAGAGGAATACCCCTCGGAAGTACGGACCTATCGTCCTCCTGAATTTGGCCGTGTTTATCCACCAGTACAGCCGTCACTGCATCCGTCCTACACCGATCCATGCCTGCCTTCGAAAGGCCGACCGCGATTTGGTTTGAGCGCCTATCCGTCTATTCCGTCTGATTCTTCCATACAGTACGAAGCTCCCATCCTTCCAGATGGAATGCCAGGTTTGAATTCGGCGCCCGTTGATCCCGCTCCGCTACCACCGACCACGCGGCCTGCCAAGTCTTCCATCAACGGGAGTAATGATTCCCATAAACCGCCGCGTATTGTTTTCGATGCGCGCACCGCAGCTGCTCCGACAGTGCCAACGTCGGTTTTGAAGAAGGATAAACTCTCGGGTATGCAGCGTTTCATCTTGCAAGATCAGGAGCGGCGTTTGGCGGCTGAACTGAAAGATCTAGCGGTGTCGGATTCGAACAAGGTCGAGTCAACGCCAACCACCCCACCAAAAGTTTCTGTAAAAACCACTAAAGACAATGCTCCCGTTCCGGAATTGAGCATAGGTAGGAAAGTGCTTTCAGTTTGTTTTCCCATGGTTCACGGGTTCTAATTGTTAATAGCTAAAAGCGCTCCTGTGAAGCATCTGGTGGATACATCCGATAAGACTGCAACAGATGTGTACGTGACTAATCTGGATGTTATTACGGATCGGGATGTGCTGTGCGCGAAGTTGATGCAACTTTTGGAACCAGTTGTTCCTGTAAGCTTGACATGAGTTATCGTACTTAGTATTGGTTTGTCGTATACAAAGGGTTTCCTCCGTAGATTTCCTTCGTTTCCGTTTACCTGGATCAGCTGGGTTTGGCGTTTGCGCATGTTATTGTGCTGGGCAAAGATAATGTGGAAAAGTTGTTGAATTTCGCCAACAATACTGTCTTTGGTGGAAAACGATTATCGGCATCTCTGGACGATCCTAGTCTACCGGTTCCGGAGATTGTGCAGTCAGTGATGAAACTAATCGTTAAAACGTGGCTGTATGTTCATAAGAATTTACTTTTGTCCAGGCGCTCTATCGTGGAGATTTTTAAAATCCACAAAAAGGACGAGATGGCTTATATGGATTTGGTCAGATATTTTGAGTTGGAGTAAGCGCTTTTTTGCCGGTCTGTCGTCGCACTGCGCAGTGTTAGAATCATTCTTGTAGGCACGATGTAATCTTGGACTTGCGAACGATTCGGAAAATGTCCAGCATTGTGGAAGATTTGGAGCATGATGGGAGAAAATGGGTGCGCCTCCGTGGTGCCGGAATCGCTTTGATTGCAGTGACTGCTGCTAATGAGGTTGGCCTTTCGTGGTGGGAAATGTAATTGAGCGTATTGATTTATTTGCTGGATGTTTTGTAGGGCAAGCCTCGCCTTGAAAAGGGTTACTGTGAAACTCATTGTGCTGGTTTGGATATACACAAAGCGTTCCCAAAGAAGCAGTATAATCCAAGCAGCTTGTATCGCACGTCGTTCGGTTTGGCCATTTTCAAGGACCATATTATCGAACTACTGAAGCAACATGGCAACGCTATGCCGATCAACTCGTAAGTGAAGTTTTCCTCTTCCGAATATTTTTTTCTTTATCGTTGTATCAATTTTGGGACAGGTTTTTGATCTGCTACGAAGCTTTATACCCGAAACATTTGGTGGAGGATTTGAAAGATGGTGTTTATTTGGAGCATCTATTGCTGAGCGTTCCTGGTGTCTCCATTGAGCAAAAAGCACTGGAATCGCGCAAACTAATCTTACGAACCGGCGTAGAAAATGGTAAGAGTCAAATCGGTTACATATTTTCAAAAGTTTATGAGTAATTGTTTGGGCAGGCAGTTCGACTGAAGACAACGACTTTGCTGAGGATGTTGCGGGAATCTTGACATCGACCGATAGAGCTGCGTATCCTGTGCAGATGTTCATGGACCGCTATCACGCTCTTATCGGTCTGGGAAGTGGGTCCCGTACTCGCTACATAGACCACGATGTATTGCTGCGAGAATTGCAGGATGTGACGAAAGATATTCAGGTTTGTATAAAGTTAGCGTTATCAGTGGGAAAATAAAGCAGTTTTTTGCCTTTCGTTATTTGTAGTCATTCAAGTGATTTATCTGTAGGTGGTGGGATTGGGAGCTTCTCGTATTGTGACGCTGACGCACGAAGCCCAGAAGCGCCGTTTCAAGGCGGATTTGGCCCTCGTGCAGGAAAAATATCCGCCGAGCTCGATTACAGCTGCTAACTTTGCCGAACGCTATCGTGACGTGATGGGGCGGCCTTTTGCGGCCAAAAACTATGGAGTATGCCATTTAGAGGACCTATTCGATGGAATAGATGTTCCCTATTTGGCGCCAGAAGTGACGGGTGCGTTCTAGTTTATTTGTCGTTTTATTGTTCGAACCTTTTGGCTTACTTTGAACTTTTATCTGTTGTGTGATAATCCGGACAAGCCCTGCTCACTAGATTTGTAATTTTACTGTTTATGAGTTAGTTTATTATAGATTGTCAGGAGATAGTCGAATTAACCAAGTTTATAGACAATTTTCCTGGAACTATTTAGATTTACCCTGTTTATGTGATGGCTTTTTTATGGTAGCTATGTGGCTTACGCTCATCCTAGTTTTTTTGCACCCTGTTGTTTCACCTGCCCTGGAATTCTTGCCATAAAATGTGATGAGTGCGTGCACGTGATGCGCTTGCTGCTTTCTGTTTGGTCTGCTGGCTGTTTTGCTGTATCCCTTGTTTGTTTCACGTACCCGGTACTAATCGACCGTGCGAGTACGTGCAACGCCGTTTTATTTTATAATTCGAGGAAGCGAAATTCTCGTTCGCGTATTCATTCTGTTATTTTAAATTTATCACTGATATTTAGAAACAGTCACACATCAGTCCAAAAATTGAGGAAAGTGTGGATATTTGTAGGAAGTGGAGAGTTTTCATATGTATTCCAAATGTTTTCTGTTACGCTCGCGTTGTTTGTACTAAATTTTTATGGTGTATTCGTAAGTGGGCTGCATCAGCAGTTCTGCAGGTTGTGTATCATGTATTAATGAATTAAGTTTTTGCTGGGCTGGCACAGGAAACACAGGTGTATCGGATTGGTGATGTATCTGCAGCAGCCTAGCAAATATCATCTAACTTGGTTAAATCGTCTAACCATGGTCCGCTTACAGGCCGACCGAAAGGTCACGCTGTTGCTGGCGATACGGCAGAAGCAGTCGTTAATAAGGGAACGGCGCTGCATATTCTGACTGCAGAAGTGATCGCTTTACTGAATTTCTCCCCTAAATATCGCCTGAATCTAATTCGTTTTCCTGCAAGTTACCATCAAATGTTCAAGAAGCAGCTAACGCTGCGAAAATATGGATGGACCAAGCTGGTGGATTTAATTACTACGCTGCCGGAAATTTTGGAAGTATGCGAAATATTTTTTTTTATTTTAGTAACTGAAATCCTGGCTTCTTTCTTATCGTCCACATTTTTACAGGTAATTAAGATTGGACAAGATCGTTTCATCCAGCTGACACTGGAGAAGCGTCGCGAAGATTTCCAAGAGTTTGGCCGAACGCTTGCTGGACGAAAGCAAGAATACGGGCTTCAGGAAATCCGTCAAATTTTTAGCGAGACGTTTCGACCGGGAAAGAAGCTGATGTTTGATGATTATGGATGTGCGAGCTGGGATGAGCTCATTTTCAACTTCAGCGATATTTTCCAGGTATTGTATCTGCAGCATAATTTTAACTTCTGGCCTGATGAATTAGTTCTCTCTACACATTTTGTAGCACATAATCAATGGCGCATCAACGAAATGCGCAAAATTGCAGTTTAATAACTGCCTATAAATCTTAGTCAGTCAGTGGCCAGTGCGTGTCATCACATTCGGATTGCACATCATAGGTCATGATTAATTTATCCTAAGAATTTTAATGTCACTAACGGATAAATCAAAATAAGCCTAATTTACTAAACGATTATGGAAATTACTACCGGTACTTATTTGTGTACATGGGAAACCCGGCACAGAAGACTCAGACCATAATGCAAAGTACAGTAAAAAAAACCACACCTAAAAAATCAAAAACAGTCCAAAACTTGAATTCCTAGGTTCTTGTCCAGCCGAATGGAAACTGGAGTGTGCGCATTAAGCCAGCCCAGCCTATCCCCGTGGATAGCCCGCCTGCTTCTACCGGTCCGTCATCTTCGGCATCCGACGCAGTAGCCAGTACTAAGCTAACCAAGAATCAGCGTCGTGCCCAACGAAAACTGGAAAAAAAGGCTGCGGAGGTGGCTGCTGCTGCCAAAACGGATGCTGCACCGGAAGATGACAGCACGGGTGTTAGTGACCAGGAAGCGTCGGCTTCGACGGCATCTAACATCAAACTCACACACAAACAGGCAAACAAGCTTCGTCAACAACAGTATTTGGAAAGAAAACGAGCTATGGAAGCTGCTACCAAGGAGGGGAAGACTGAAGACGCTGGCACACGTGCCAATGATCAGGAAGCGTCGACTTCGACGGCATCCGACACAGCAGCCGCCAAACTGGCTAAGAAGGAGCGTCGTCGCCAGCGAAAACTGGAGAAAAAAGCGGCGAAGGCTTCTGTTGCCGAAAAGGAAGCTGCATCGGAAGACGCCAGTCCGGTTGTCAGTGACCGAGAAGCGTCGACGGCGGAAGTGCCTGTTGCTGTTCCGGCTCGTCCATTGGTAGTCTCCACGCGGTTGGCTATGAATTTTGGATAGATCATACATCCGGCATCGCATATTTTTGGTTATTATGTATTGGTTTCCCTCTTTATTGCAGTTATCATATTTTGGTGGATTTGAACTGATTAATTTTTCATAATTTTCCATGAACTTTTAGGCTCTCTTTCTTCTACGTGAAAGTGGCAGTATCTGACAGTAATTATAGTACGATCCACTGTACCAACCCTTTTTTAACGTTTTATGGTTGTAGATTGTAATGGTTTTATTGGGAAGGGTCTTTCGTAATAATTGTCACACATTTTTTTCGGCAAAGTAATTGTGCTTCCTCTATGGTTTTTTGTGGTTGTATTGTTTCTGTAGTATTCTATTAAATCGATGCATAATTTGTTATGTCATTGTCGGCCAGTTGAAATGTCTACGCGATGTACTGCTTAAAATTTCAAAGTGCGCCAAACACTTGTACTCGTATATAGTTAATATTACTTATTCGTTTTACAAAATTGGAGAACTCGTACAAATTATAAATCCTGGTCAAAGTATATGCCACATATGTATGTGGCACAACCGAATATGCCGATAATGTTATGTCTAACAAAATAAAACTTTGCTTAAAATCAATAACATGACCCAAAGAAACTACTGCATTATCTGAAAACAGAAATTTAAGTACATTCTAGTATCGTAGTTTTAATACTACAAATTAAAACTTTGCGCGCCGCACTTGTTTAATCCAACATGGATATGATCCGTGTGCGGATTTAGCCCTTTGTAGGTGAGGGTTCCCCCTTTCGTCCAGATCTGACGATTAAAAATTACCTCCTGTATTCCATTCTGACAGGCAATGCTTTTCAAATGATTAACAACGGCTTGTCCATTGGATAAGTTACTCGGGTAGAAATCCACCGCGCGACCTTCACCGTGCAACGACACCGTGCTGCCTCCACGGACATTCCGGCAATTAAAGATTTCCGTTCTACCGCCAAATTTATTCTTCAAATACGATGCCAGATTTTTTGCGCCCGGTGTGGCGCCGGAAGTGCACTGTGTGGCGCGGTTGGCATCACATCCACAACCTCCCGGAGCGCTTCCGGTTCCGCTTCCGCTGCTTCCATAAATGACCGCCCATGTATTTGCACCGACGATCCCGTCGGCTTCCAGGCCATGCCGGCGCTGGAAGGCTTTCACTGCGGCTTGTGTACTTTGCCCGAAAATCCCGTCGGCACTGGTTCCCACCTTACGCTGGACCTCCTTGACGCAGTCACCTTTACTACCAACTTGCAGCTTTTGCGAGCATTGTGCTGACAGTACTGCTGCTGGCAGTAAACCGGCGATGAAAAATAAAAGCTTTATGTTCTGAAACATAGTCGAATCATCGAATGGGAATGCAGATAGCGTAATATTTATACGTAAATTCAAAAAATCACAGTTGGGTTGTTGTTTCTGCACCAGATAAAATGCTCGCGATCTTTACATAAGTCGACTGTCCAATGAAACAGCTTTTTATAGGACGTTTAAATGCATCCCATAGTTTCAGCATGACGATGTCATAATGCGCTCAGATCGCAGTGTTATTGGAACGCCAAACATTTCCGGAAGAAAGATATACAACAATCCTTTGTCGTTAAATCCGATCGTAGCGACTGATTGAGCAAGGGTGTGATCAGAACTGAGTATCAGCCCATCTATCGGTAAAATATTTTGTTGCTTATTCGCTTATATTGTGCTACGGTTTAGACTTTCAGTTAGTCATAATTACGCCACAAAGCGCTATTAATTTATGTATTACGTATTTCACTAATTTTACCTATTTACATTTGAACTTTACCGCTATCTAGCGTCAGGAAGAGGCAGTTTTGACGATAAATGTTAGCGGCTGTGATCGTCTAGAAGAAAATTTATGAAGGAAGACGATTACCGCTCGACTCGTATGCAGGTACATAATTATTAGCATAAAAATTAACAACTTAATTACAAATATAACGTGGATAGCGCTGTCTGCGGTTTGCAATACGGTTCATAAGTCACAAGTAGATCGCATGTGCAATATGCATATATTGCATGCTGTCTTAACGTTAACTACCACGGCTCGGTTTCTTATCAGGATAACATTGGTACACACATTTATAATTGTGCAAGTTATGTAACGTTTTTGATTGTGTACCAACACAAACAAAGCCGTGTAAACATAAACTATAAACCGTGAAACCAAAATAAAATTACCTTTTCAACGGCTATAGAAAACACACAAGAGAGAATGTTTGCATAATATGAGCATGTCGCCGAAGTGTAATGCAGGCAAGTTTGGTACAGCAAAACATTTATGCGCGAAGGATCAGGATCATGACCGGCAAAAATTCCATAATGTAAGAACTGGCAAGTAATGGGATACAACATCGCCAAAACGCTGACTATGTTCTAATGGGCACGCAGCTGACTACGTACAGCAAAACTGACATAAAGTATTATAGAAGTTGTGGAAAACTATGAATATTAAAATACGGCAGCGAAACAACAACCGTCGCAGATGTGTATCTCTACGTATGTTCCCGCGCGTTTGGCTAATATGGCAACAGCCAGATGAGCTGTTTGATTTATGTAAATTTGATTTATGTTGGATTTATCTAAATTAGTTTAAAGAAGCTTCTTGTTTTCAGTTTTTTTAATGTGCAACACCATAAGAATTTGAATTTCCATATTTTATAAGCTGATACTCGTATACATACATACAGATGTTTACTGAAATCGTCGCCGGGAAGTCTAACGCAGTACAAAACAATGTTTTATAAATAGCGGAAATTTGTATAACGATGCAGTTGCACCGTCACACGTAAAAGGTCATGCACTTAACAAAAAAATAACAAGTAGTGCAAGTTTACAATGCAAATCTATTTTCGTCCTTATATAATGCGTTAAAGTTGCCTTTTCAACCAAGTTCAGAAGAGCCAGCAAAAAATTCTTCCCCTGGAGTTGCCCATGCTGCCGATCCTAAGCCACGTGATAGGATGACAATACATTTTAACGATTGCCAATAACATCTAACATCCAGATCGATATAAGTGCACAGTATCCAATTTTCTGCTTATCCGTTTTCCGGGTACAGCCGCACACTATTGTGGCGTGTATAAGCCGCAAAATATAATTTATCCAACTGTACACAAATTCATTTCTATATCCGCTGTATAAACAGTTGGAGAAAGCCGTCCCTTACTCCTTTCGTGCTTACTCATAAGGTTCTCTTCAATAAACACCGACACCTCGGCAGAAATTTCTCTATAGACCTTTTTACCCGCTCTTATGCGACGTATGAAAAACGTAAGCAAACTTGCCAATTTATTACGCTCAGACGTCTGTAACGCTGGACCATGCTGATGTTATTTTAATGCATGCTTTTGCGACATACCGATACACTTGGCTGGACTGTTTTAATTAAAACGTTTTAAACAAAGAATTTGCCACGTTTACTTACATCCACTTATTCCAGAATCCTGACCCTCCCAAAGTTTATGAATAGCCGGTGCAACTTTTAAAGTTAATAACTGTAAGTACTAATGGTAAGTGCTGTAAGTAGTAAGCACTACTGGAGCTTTTTGTAAATGAAACTGATTAGCTTACGATATTCTGTTGGGTACTGTGTGAGCTTTTTCTGCACAATTAATATTGCTTGGGACTTGGGAGTGTATCATTGTGCCTGTATTGCAAATCGACAGCTGATACTACCCACGAGTCAGTATTCAACTTGTGTATTACATTATGAATATATGTAGATATTTTGTAATTGGGCTACCATATGTATTGTACAGCATTGCATATTACATTTACAAATTGTAATAACTGCTACAATTAATTATTCTTTGCAGCACTGTGACGCTTGTGTGAATAGTTTATTACGCATTTCGTATTAGGATAGCCTGCAATTTGTTGCGCGTGTCATAATTCAATTATAAGTACTGCTGGCTGTTGGAGAATATGAGTCATTCTTTTGGTTGCGTTTCGGGACAATTTGTCACACGGGATCGTTATTCGTTAGCAACTATATAGTGCGATTACTACTCTAGTATTTTGCTACCATCATAAGCCATTGTATCTCGCATGGTTAATACTGCTCACGTGGAACCAACACTTGAAATTTAGTGTTGACGTCGAATTTCTTGTGGAAAAGTACGTTGACCATGGGTGTCATTACCATGAAGCAGCGATAGAGAACGGATTACTAATAACTTGTGTAATCATTCCTCAATATTTGTCATTAATAAATTTTCTGTGCAATACGCAGTCCCGTAAAAATTTATTTATTACCTATTACAAGTTTACAACAAACAACCGCTTGTGCTGACGGAACAAGAATATGTTTTTGAAAAACGTAAAATTTTGCTTTTGATTAAATCATAAAGTAGCCATCAGACGTGCATATTGCAAATTTATTTTGCGCTTATATCTGAGTTCGGTATCAATGCAGAATTGATGCCCTGCTGCTGCATTATTACGACGCGCTTAACTGAACCAAAAACGTGTTTAGCGACTTTAACTAATGAATGGTATGAATGTTAAGCATCTAATTGTTTATGAGAAATTACGTCGTAAGTAACAAAAATCCCTTTAGGAGTAAATTTTCTTAAGGAAGGTTCAGGATGTGAACCATTTGACTCATCCTTATATGATGCACATGCTGAGTTTGCTGATTTGGCAGAATGATCGTTTAATCAATGCCACGAAATGCTTGTCGCTACGCCTACATAGACAGTTATGCAAATGACTTGTCACATTAAAACATGATCCCGCAGACACAACCATTTCCATTGGTTCGATGTTTACTTTATATTTAGTGTACCGCGTCTAGCTCGATAATATGTTACCACGCGTTCGTTATTATTGATCCGTTTTTGGCTAACATCTTTCCGTGATCGGTTCCGTTTACAATACATTCATATCGTTTTCAGATAGCGCCGACACCTGATCGATTACAGACGACATTTGGCAACACTTTTTAGCAGTTATTAAACTTCTATTATAAAGCAACCCGAATGGCCGAGCATGACGTGCAGCATAACGTTAACGGACACGAGCCGGGTCATGATCATCATCCGGAATACGGTTTGGAGGAAATTGTGGATGCAGTGAAGACTTTCGTGCGCGACATCGGAGATACGATAACCGGTAGCGAGCATCATTCAGGAAGCAAACCAGCGTCCAGACGCGAAAGCGTAAACGACCACCAGGAACGTCGTGCGAGCGTACCGGACAAAGGCCACCACGAAGAAAGTCATGAAAGTCATCATGAAGAGGTTACAACGCATTCCGGTTCGCGCCGGGAAAGTTTGGCTAAAGGTCACCATGAGGACAGTCACGGAAGCCATCATGAAGAAGTTGTTACAGACCATGCTGGTTCTCGCCGAGAAAGCCTAGCTAAAGGTCACCATGAGAGCAATCACGAGAGCCATCATGAAGAAATTATTACAGGGAATTCCGGCTCGCGCCGAGAAAGCCTGGTCAAGGAGCACCCGGCATCACGACGGAGTAGTCGCGTGGATGAGACCACCCACGTCCGCAATGACGATCAGCCAGCGGCTGCCAACGAACATGGGATAGTCGAGTCGGCGTACATTGCAGCCCGCGACGGGATCAACGACATTGTGGAAGCGGTGGAGACTTTTGTCCGCGATGCCACCGGGTCATCCGATGACCACACCAACGCCGAGCACCACGCGCCATCTGAGGATGTCGTCGGAGTATCGACCGACCACGCCCATGATGAACATCATGCGTCACAGGAGCGGCGCCGCTCAAGTGTCGCCGATGGATACAGCGGCCACGCCCAAGCACCGGAAACGGAAACGCAGGTTCGATCCGATCACGAAATGACGTTCGACGTCAAAGACGACGGGCAGATTGCCTGGAATAAAGAAACAGCGGAGCAGCTCCATCACACAGTGGAGCTCGGTCAAGAGGACGCTTTTGTCGTGCACGGCAACGGTCGCATCGAGTGGCCACAGTATGACGAGCGTGTCGGCGACAGTCTACATGGCATCGAGGCTATTATGGCCAGCGCAACGCTGGCGTCGGAACCGGCTCCGGATAATCATATTCCGGAAAAGTACATTACGGAGCGCCGCCGGTCCAGTGTGGCCGACGGTTACCACGGACAAGGGTCACTGACCGAACCGGATTCCGGCATGGCCATGCCGCCGCCACTAATGGAACCGCCGCTAGCGGTGGGTTGCCCAGCCGACATGTTTATAGGTCGCACGGTGGAAGAATACCGCCCACCAGGATTCCATCAGGAATTCCATCAACCATGGTACCGGGAAACTAACGTCCGGGATGATGTGGATGAGAAGCATTGCGCTATCTGTTCGGAGGTCATCAATGATGACCGGCATTTGGCGCTGCATGATAAGCACTTCCATCGCAACTGCTTCGATAGCGTGTATTCGGGAACGTGCTGCGCTTGTAATAAGCATATCCATTTAACGGAGGTCAGTCAGCAAATAATGATTTTGTTATCTAACTGCAGTAAAATATTTAATTTATTAATTTTACAGGAATCGGTGAGTGTGGGAGCGTTGCAACGAGATTGGCACGTGGACTGCTTTAAATGCCATTTATGCCAGAACCGGATCACCGGCAGTTTCCAGTTGCCGAACGACGGACCAATGTGCGATAACTGCTATCGGGATAAATTTGCGCCTCACTGTGCAGCATGCAATGGTTATATCGAAGGCGACAAACTGAAGGCCATGTCAATGTACTATCATCCCAGCTGCTTTGTGTGCGCGGTAAGAAAAAGAGACCGGCAACTATGCAGGATTAATTTAAAGCAGTGTACAATTACATAGAAGTATAGATATAAGTACACAAATACCTTACTAGTTACTAGTACATAGAATTCTGTATTAGTGTCGCAGATATTAATTATCGTAAGTGTAAAAAACTTAAGGATAATATTTTTGTGTGTGCTGCCAGCCCGATGCCGGATAAGACATTTTCAAAAAATTCTAATTGTGTAAAAGATTTGGTAATGACTAATGCGTATCTAAGGTAAGTGTTTTTATTATGCAGGTTTGCGGAGATGCTTTGTATACAATGGGAACCGGCATGGAATACTTTAACGTGGAAGGCAAACCCTATTGTCGAAAAGACGTCGAAGAAGCCCACATCCAAGTGATGTGAAGCACTGACGAGAGGTTTAACTACAAGGATAAAGCAACGTCTAATTAGTAATTTCCTGTGGTAATAACCGATGGGCTACCTCGTAACAGCTGTTATTACTGTAATTTAACACCAGATAACGGTAAATGTAGCGAAAATAAATTAAAACTGTCGTGTCTGTGCAGCTATGTGACCGGAAATGCTTTTTCCCAAATGCTTCCTTGCGTGGTGTTGTTTCTGCTTAATTGTTGTACATAATATACGAAGGAAGTCGGTCTCTGCTAGTCGGTGGAGTCACTGCAGTGTGAAAATACTTGTACAATTTAACACTAATCGCGCTTGCTTTTCGAGAAAGTGTCTGTCATTAACATTAGAAAGTGTCTGTCATTTAATTATTCGCGGGAAAAAGTGAGTAACAAAATCAGGTGCTACCATACCGTATCTTACAATGTTAGACTTACGTCTACGGTAATAAATATACAAGTACAGAAACAACAAACCGACTGACAAATGTCGTACCACTATCAAACTCCTGCGTCTTTACTCGAGCGAACAATAAAATTAAGCACTCGTTCAATATTCCTGATGATATGCGGGCATGAACTTTCTTACTGAAAAATAATAAAAAATTGTAACCGACAGCAAGATTCTTATGGAAAACTTCAAACACTCAAAAGCACTACCACGCACAAAACCGCCATAAAAAACCAGCTCAATAAAACTTCGAAGAAACAAGAGAGCAATCAATACAAAGCCATCCCTTACTGGACATACTCGCGGCTGCCCATCGCATCCATCGCCGCCAGATAATACAGATTAAAAATGGGATACCCGCGGCGCGTCAGCACCGTAATCAGCTCCTGCGCCAACGTCGCCCCGAACACTGCACAGGCGAAATTCGTATCCGGTTTCAAGAACTCTGCCGGCTCCAGCACCCGGGTGTCGCCGTCCTTCTGCAGCCCTTTGACAATCTCCAGCAATTTCGGCAGATCATCCTCCACGGTCTGGTAGGCCGGGTAGCGTCCATACTGTTCCACAAACAACAGCACCATCTCCATGTTCAAATACGGATCAATGCGCTTCATGCCCAGCGAGCGCTTGGGCATGGGACAGGCCGCACCAGAGCGCTGCACCGCTGCGGATGATAGCAGCGTCTCCAGCGGCGTGACGGTAATGTGCAGGGTCTGCGGCTCAGTATTGACGCTATCCTCCGTAAAAGTGCAAACTTCCGCTTCACCGTTGGACATCTTGCTGGTCGATGCCGTAGTACCTAGAGTTTATAAAATCATACAGTTCTGGACTGCTTTTAAAATAAAACAAGATTTCGAGATAAACGAAATTTAAAAATGAATCCATTTATTTTTCGAATATTTCTTCTCTTAAAAACAAAGAAATTAAAATGAAATATTAATAGTAACAGAAACATCATCATTTTAACAGTTACCGGTATTTCACTGCATTTTATTAAATCAGGGTTTAATTCGACCAATTTCTCAAGCCAAAATTAATTAAATAATAATTAAAGAAAAATAAAATTTTAATTTCGAAATGTTGCAGTCACTCGAAGCCCGGTTTGGTTTTGGAATGATACGATTTAAAGGTTCAAATGTGAAGCGTTTGAAATTGCGATTCAACTTATTAAAGTGGCATTGGTAGTTATTTGGTACCGTTGCTCTTGGCATCCGCCTTGGGGGCCGCCGCGGTATTCGGTTTACTCGGCGGAATCTCAAAATCCAGCTGGTTAAGATCGTTGACGAAGAAGGCATGGAACCCTAGCATCTGGGAAATATACACGGGAATGTGCAGGGAGCGGCACACACCCGCGATGTGCACGGCATCCTTGATACTGGCACCGTTGACCAGGACGAGATCAAAGTGTTTGACGAGTTCCGTGTTGATGATAGTGACATCGCCGTCTAAAACTTCCAACGTGCACATCGGATTGAGGACCCGCGCACGGTCCGCGCTGGCCACTGCCCGATTCAGACCGACGTCCTGTTTGCGGAGAAAAAAGTTGGTGGAGAGATCGGGCTCGGTGACACTGGCGGCATCGAGGACCGTGATGTAGCGGATACCGCCGAGGAGGAGATTCTTCAGCACTTCGGCCCCGGTGCCGTTTAGGCCGTACATCAACAAGCGGGATTTCATCAGGCGCTGCTGGGCTTCCCATCCCCATAAGCGGATCTGACGGTCGTAGAGGTTCGTCGGACGGAAGCGATCCAATTCTCCTTTAGGCTTTTTGGTTGTCTCCTGCGACGATTCTGCTGAGTCCTCCAGTGGACGCTTTTTGCCAGACTGAACCACTTCCATGACGGTGCCGTTCGTTTTGGATACGAATACACCCATGAAAAAGATATTGCAGAATGCAGTGAAGTAGGGCTAACGAAACTATTAACCGCAAGCCGCAACTAAGGGATGATGGAAAACTCTTCTTCCTGAAACGAGACAACTGTATCAAAACTAAAAGTCCGCGTGAAATGCAGAGAAAAATTCGGGTTACAGTGTACACGATCCGTGTGTAAGCAAATCGAAAAAAATTTGGACTGCTGAGACGAGCTATGGCACGATGGTGAGCGGCCTCGTTAGCCAGTTCGCTCTCCTCGTGGCGGTTAATATTGAGACTACCGAATTTCCCATCACTTAAAAGTCTTAAATACTGGATAACACAGTACGCATTTTAAGTACTTGCACCCCTAGGGTGCTGCATTTGGCCTCGCTACCCCACCGGTGAACCAAAATGCTTGCCTTTTTTCTGCTTTCCATTTATTTTACCGTTTTCGTTGGACTCACGTTGGTCCATCATCCATTTTACGGCACTTTTACGTTTTAAGGACAACAAGTTGCGAAGTCTAAAGATCGCACGCGAAGTCTAGAGATCGCTGTCGTCGTCGCATGATAATCGCGCAGGAAAGTTGATGTTCCATGATTTGCAGTTGATGTTCGGTGTTGGAAATGACTGGAATTCTCTCCAACCTAAAAATTTGATACGGTTGCGGGATCAGGCATCACTATCGCCGTGACTATAGGCTATCCTTTCTCATCACATTGGCTATGGACAGCATTATTGGTTCCACCGCTGTTCCACCAAAGGAGACCCTCAATCCGTATAAACTGTTAGTCGCCGTGCTGATCCGCGAATATGTGAGACTGCGGCGTGACTTGTCGCCGGACATGATCCATGTGAAAATTAATTCACCCTCCAAGGAGAAGGAGCGGGAAGACTGCAAGAACTACTTAAGCAGACACGGTGTGGAGCCAGACAAGTTCGTTATTTCCGGAAAAGAGTCTTTCGACACACTGAAACTGCTGCAACATCTGGCGCGTTCCCCGGAACGTGACTTTGCCTCGTTGATCTGTCTGATACGATGTGTGCTGGTGCGAGCGCATTTGTTGTTGTTTCGCCGAGTTGTGGAGATGCTGCGCAAGGATGATCAGGAGGAGACGGGACGCTATGTCGATATCAATTTCCCTCCCTTGCTACAATCTCTCAGGATTGAGCAGGCGCTGTGCTCGCTTTTCATGCGGAATACGAAGATTCTTTTTGATGAACTGAGTTACACGGGATATGACAGATTTAGCTCGCATCTGCTTGATTATATCGGGCAAGGCTTTCATTATTTATTGGATCTCGACTCAACGGTTAGTTGATTTTGGAATTTTTGTCTTGTTAACAGTTAATTACAGCAGTAAATTGTTTACTGGTGCTACATTACTGTAAATTTATTATTTAATTCATTTATTGTGAAGGTGTTTATTTATGCAGCTGCCTTATTTTGGTTCAAATTGGATAATAAAATACGGTTTTTTTGTATGATATGGTGCAACAAAAAATGTATGTCGTTTCTAGAGTGCCTACACATTTGAAAAAGCAGACCGAAGCAGTGATGTCCCGAATATGCTGACCGCCACCCAGTCCAGTTATTTTCTCGCCCAAGAATCTGCCTTAATGCAGCGTAATCCGGTTCTAACCAGCGGGAATCCTGGCGATAACGCTACCCGCCAGCGACTCCTCACCGCTCAGCCGCCCATCGAATCCGCAAACTATGTCCGCTTCCTGCAGGCCGTCCACGCCAAAGACTACAGCCAGGCCGTCGATGCACTGTATAAGTTCTTCGCCTCCCGCTGTCTGCTGGAAGAGAAGACGGCGGACGGTGCGGGTGTGTCGTATTATCCCGGCGAAACAAACCTGCAGTTGTGTATCATGCATTATGACGCCGGCCACCACGAACTGGCACTGCAAGCCCTGCGCGAGTGCATCTACCTCGCCCAGGAGAAAAGCGATATCCAGTTGCTCAGTCATGCCATGTTCTGGCTGGCGTGCCTGGAAATCAACAATAATCAATATGAAAAGCTCTTTCGTGGCGCCTCGCTGGGTGATTTTGCTAGATTTCCCGAAGTGGCCGCGCAGTTCGCTGTGTTGATCGCCCGGTTTGATTCGCTCCTGGGGATGGAGGTGAAGAAAGTGGTTAAGCATCTGGACTATGTGGAGCAGACAGATGACAGTCTGAACCGGATCTCCTTGATGCAGCATTATTCGGGACGCGCGACGTTCTTCAAGCTGTACGGTGTGGAGGAGGTGGCGACAGTCTATGCGCAGGGCTGTGTGCAGTTATTCTGCCGACCGGAAAACAGCCGCTTTCCCCTGGCGACGGATTCCGCCGCGCTGTGTGCCAGTATGATCTTGGAGCACGCGGTGCGATTCAACGATCAGAAAGCCATTGAAATTATGCAGCGGTATTGCCGTGAACGATTTCCGCCGAGTCGTTTTGGTGACTGGAAGATTTGGGGATTAAGTGAGCTGTTTTGGAAGTATCAGTTAGCGTTTAACCGGCAGGATTATTCAGAATGCGAAATCCTCAACGAACAAATCGGTCGAATGAACGTCACTGAAGCATCCGTTCGGAAGGCGCAATTGCTGTATTACAAAGACTGCAGTCCGAAATCGGCGTTGGAATTGTTGGATGCCTTATTGAAGAGTGGCAGCGAAGGCAGTGTCCATGTTGCTCACCTTTCCGCGTTTTCCCTACAATTGCAGCTGCGTTTATTGCTTTTGAAAGCGGAAATCTTTTTGCGCTGTCAGTGCGGACTGCACGCGCTGAAATGTGTCATCGAAGCGCTGGGTCTCGTGAAAGATCACCCGAACGAATTGTGGAAGTGGAAAGTGCATCTGTTATTAGCGTATGTGTGGTTTGAACTGGACGAGATGGGACAGGCGGCTGCCGCGTTGGATGTGTGCTTTCCGGGGCTGAATGGGTGTAAATACGCACAGGATGAAGGGCGAGTGTGGTATCTTAAAGGGAAGCTGCTGCTCAGCGAGAAAGAGAAAAACCTGGAGAATCCTGAATGGGCGGAGACCTTGTTGAACTATTTTGAACGGGCGCTAGAAGCCTTTGCGCAGTGCTCGGCTGTATCGGACATGATGGCGTGTCTGTGTATAATGGGATTTGTATATAATGATACGGATAACATTCCCACTCGTGATCACTGTAGCAAGCTTTATAAAGAACTCTGCACGACTTATCCGCATGTTGTACCATTTGAAGTTGACGCCTGAAGTTTGTTTTTGGTTTATATTTATTCATCTTGAAACTGTAAAACGTGCTTTGCTTTCTTCGTGTTGAATAAATTGATATTAGTAGCGCATGTTGAATAAACTTATGTTAGCAGCGCAATTTTTAATCCGCTTTAATACGCCTTATACAATAAAAATTTATTATACAATATAAATTTTGTTTACTTACTATTAGCCGAAAACCATGGTCCAGTTTTTTTTAAAATAATCCTCCTTTATGCAAAGAAAGTCGCTTCTGTCACACGAAGAGCAGACAGAAAAGTGTTTACTTCAAATGTTCGCGAGCCTAATAATTTCAGGCATTAAAAACTCAGAATAATCTGAAAACGCAGCCAGTGGAAATATCGAATCGACAGCATTTATTTAATTTCTTCATTAGTTTCGCTGACTTACTGTGGCCTATAATCAACAAAATACAAAACGATCCAAAAAACATTCCCGTGTTCCACAGATAAAAATCAGATTTTTCCGAAGGCCTTGTCGTCAACTGCACGAATAATCCAAGCGGAGATCCATGAAAGAGAATCGACATACAGCACGCTTCACATTTCCTCGTCGTCGTTAGCGCGGCTAACGTGTCGCGCGTGCAGTCCCTGCTTCTTCTTATTGGTGAACTCCTCCTTGAACTGCTCCTCGGTGAAGGCCAGCTCGCTGATAAGGTCGGTGATGGCGTTGTTGAGAGCCTCGTGCGGCGCGTAGTCCGCTGTCGTCTGCACGCGCAGCACAAACTTGTTCTCCAGGGGATGGGGCACCTTGTAGCCCGCGAACACCACGTTGGGGTCCTTGATTAGCTGCGCGCGCAGCATGTTGCCCAGCGTGTGGTCTTCCTTGTTGAAGGTGAAGACGGCCGCGTTGGGCACCTTTGTGTCCTTCTCCACGGTGATCTTCTTCTCTCCGGGATACAACAGATGTGATTCAAATGCGGGTGGTGCGTTCATTTTGTCAGGCTAGATGCTAACGGAGCCAACAAAACTCACTCCAGTGCGCCAAAGACTTAATCCAGCTAAGCGCAGATAATTTCAAACAAATTGTCACTGACAAAAATTTTTTTATTATATTCCCACAGCATACACTGCAAGTACAGTTAAAGTAAGTACTTAAACGATTTCACAAAAATTAAGATACTTACGTGTTGGCTGATTAGTCAGTACAGTACGACTAGCTGTGTATTAAATTCGCACTGCAATTTTACGAAGAGTGACCATGACGTCATCGCATGTTGCGATAATGGCGGATAATCACAGAAAGTGCGCCTGTGGTGTTTTTGTTTACAAATTTCAGTTGTGATTTTTGTATATTATTTTGTAATTCATTTAATTTTTCCGCAAGTGCAAAAATTTATTTGCCCGCCGTGCACGGTCAAGCAGGTTCTTTATCGTAATCCGGTAATTTTATTAAGTTTACTTATACGTTTTTGGTGGCATACGCCGAGAAGATCTCCGGAAGAAGAGTTATCTTTAAAGTCGATATACTTTACTGATCAAATTTACATACAAAAAAGCCGTTTAGAAGTTTACATGCACAGCCATATATATCAGACCTGTCATGACGTGGCACAAAGCGGCAAAACCGCTAATTCACAAAAACATCTAACGAAATTTACATAACTGTAAACTCAAAAAACAGATAACGCAAAAATTTTTGGACAGTCTTGACACAAATCGGTTTCTCAGATCCGGAAACTTTCTTCCGTGCAATACAGTCGGCATACCTTTTTGCTCAATATAAGTCCAATCGTTCTGAGAAGAGAAAATAAAGCGTGAGCCCTGTTAAATTTCACAGAACTCAAATCAATTAGCAAACTTTAAACTTACCTCATTCCTAGTCCAAATTTGACATCTTTCAACATCGTCTCTTTTTGGTCCTGCGTCAAACAAGCGTCGTATGCAGCAATTAATCTATAAAACAGGTTACCAATACAGAACGACATTCATAATCAAACACATAATAACTGCATAAACGGATTTTCGTCCATTCGGTAAAATACCGGCAAGCTAAATCACGACTTACGCTCTGATGGTGGGATAAACGGAAACGACAGCAGAAGCTTTAGCTGGCGACATTCCATCCAATGCCAATAATTGCATGAGAAACGTTTGGGACACTGTCTTAGCCTACAGAGTAAACAGTACACATTGACCATCTCGGCACAGGTATAAAGAAAATGTGCTCTACTAAAAAGCCAACCTGATTCGGTTTCGCTACAGAAGAAAATCCAGCAAAGCTTAGGAGCTCTTGTTGAGCACTGCTTAGATCCAGATCAACAGCGTTCTCCCATCGCTCGGCGAAAGTTGTACTTCGAAGCGTCTTAACCTAAAAATACACTTGTTCTAGACTTGAATAACGGCACAGTGGACGATTTATACGGGAAGTTTGTAGTCGAAATCCCAGTGGAAAAATATAGTATACTGGTACGATTGCATGCAAGCAAGATGGACATTACCGAATAGATTCGTTCCAGATATCGCGTCATTCGTAGTAAATACTCCACGGTTGCTCTCAGATTTTCCGTCTCTTTCACAACAAATCCATCCTGAACTTTGATGTTAGCGAGCGCTTGGATAAGCGCCTGATCCGATAACCCTTTGTTCATAAAACGGCTACAGTCCTCGATGATATAGATAACGCGTTTGATGGTGGTTTCTTTCATTCGATACTGTAAAACAAAAACTTACTCTAGGAAAGCAGCTTCACCTTAAAAAAGAACCAGACAATCACCTTCTGGTCGGTGTAGCGTCCATCCTTGATACTAACTGCCAGATCATCACCACGCTTCCGTTCCGCAATAAAATCCAGAACCAGTTCACGGGGCTTTCTTCCCACTGCTAGGTGCGATTTCTCGCGGGCAACCCAAAGGAAGTCGCCTACTTTCAAGTTGCGCACATCGAAAGCGACGCCGTGCTTTTTCAGCTCCAGAATCACATCTGTTTTTGATCGCACACACCTATTTAAAATTTGAGGTAGAATTAGCTTCCAAAACAGTGTATTGATAAATTGTTTAATGCTTCCAGAAAAAAATGAAACTTGAATCAATGAAACTGGGGTAACAGTTTTGGGGAAAACCATATAAAATCCCATAAACTACACCAAAAAATAAGTACGAAAATTGTGCAAAAGTGGCAGTAATCGCAAAAAATCAATAGGAAAAAATCGGATTATGATGTACTGTATGAAAACTGTAAGCAGAAAAACTGCGATGAATATTGATATACAGCGCATATTATATTCAACAAACAGACAAAGGAAGAAGTAAGCTAACAAAAGTATAATTTGCATAGTAATAAAAGCATAATTTTGTCAATGTCGGAAGCATGCGAGCGTCTAATTGGCCGTACCCATTTCCATGTATCTCCTGATTATCCACGCACAACATCACATCGAACGTTCCCGGAGTGAGCGCAAAACGTTCCTCCTCCACACTGCGGTCCTGCACACTGCTGGCGGAGCGCTGCTTTCCCACTTGTTGAATACTTTCCACACTGGAAGAGGAAAACGTCCTAACCACACATCCACCGCCGCCCCCGATCGTCAAGATCGGTTGGCTTCTAACCGTGGTGGTCACCATCCGCGCCGTGCTCATCGCAACCACGGAGCTGGATGACACCGGCCGAATATCGCTTCCCGAACTGGTGGAGGGAACACTGGAGAGGGACGAGAGGGTGATGGTGTCCGATGATTTGGATTTCGGCGCTCTGGCCTTTTTCGGCCGGGGAGGTGGTAAGTCACCCACGGTGTCGGCGCTCTCGTCCTGCTCCATCTGATCGGATTTGCGTTTACGATTGGCACGCTTTGTCGGAGATTTTCCGCTTTTGACGCCTGCATTCTTCGGCTTTTCGCGATGTTTGCTGGGGGACTTAGAAGGACTGGCGCGACGAACAGATGGCACGGAGCCGGATAAGCCACCGGATGTGGCAACCAAAAATGGATCAGGCGGAGATATTCCTACCACCGGAAGAAAGCATCAGCATAATCAAATACGTAATAATTTACAAAACTCTGAAACCAAACGATTAAAATTTAAATGATTAACCAAATAATATTTTCAATATTTAACCAAATATGTTAATTAAAATTTGAATGAAATAATTTTGACTGCGGAATCCCATCAAGGGGAACCTACTTGTAATTTCCTTTTCTTTCAGGTAGGCAGTTAATTTCTTCTTACACGTCGTAGGCCCTATAAAAATCGAAAATAAAATCGGGAGTAAATTGAATTTGATAAACCATCCAAACTCGAAACTGACCGAAATTCTTCAAAGGCTGACCGGCATAGCCATCATACAGTGCTAACGGATAATTTTTTATCGAATGCAAATTGCAAAATCAGGTGTTTTGTAATTTGTACGTTAAGTTTCCTGGCAAACGGCATACTGATGAACTTGCACTTATAAGTTAGCGTGTCTGCCTCACTGAAACTGATAAAACTTGATACATTCTTTAAAAAATTTTGAGTTATCTAGCAGGTTACACCTTTTCAGAATTTTGGGAAGCCACAAAACATGAGCTAAAATCGTCTTCCACGATGATTGAGACATTAGGGCTACCGCACTTTAGTTTCTGTGGCAAGCCCTATGCTGCTTTAAGTATGTATGCATGTGGAATGAGTGCACAATAATATTGTGCACTATTATTGTGCACTCGTGGAATCAGCTCTCATTCAGGCTGGCACGGCTAAATTGCGGTTCGTCGTCGACCCTATTGTGGGACGTATATTCGCATCTTTTCTGCTTTTTGGAAGAGAAATGTTTTTCTTTCGATTTATTCAAAAACACTAAAAAGTTCTAGATTTTTTCTCTACAAAACATGCTTATGTGAGATACGATTGAGGCCTTACAGAAAAAGTGGCTTTTTGCTGACTGAGTTTACAAGAATGTCTTCAGACGTTACGTTAGAGGAGAGAGTTTCCCAGATCGTTCTGTGGGTGGAAAGTATGCTTCCTCACGGCCAAAAGACGGAAGCGCTGCGATCCGTAATCGCTAACCTCAACAGTCATTTGAACACCCTAAGCCAGGCGGATCCCTTTGATATCCCTCTATCCTATACTATTCCGTCTGATTCAGACAGTTCAGCTAAGAGCCCCGAGATAGCAAACGAAAGCCCTGAACTAAGTAAGTTCCGACACTACATAGGTAATCGGATTTTGTGACATCATCGCTTCCATTCTGGAGATCGTTGTGGTATTCGTTGGTTTTCACTTTCTCCACGAGTTCGTACTCTTAGCTTTCCCAATGGGGACCTTGATGAAAGAGCTGCTAAAGTACTTCAACACGAACGATCTCTATGATTTCTTCAACATTCCAAAAACGGCTACGGATGAACAGCGTAGGTTTTCTCCCTCTGTACGCATATTTGTTCGGGTATTTTTTAATCGGGATTTTAATTTTCTGCAGTAAAACGCGCCTACCGTAAAATCTCGCTGGCAGCTCATCCGGATCGCGTGGTTAAAGATGACAAGAAGACTGCCACAGCCAAATTTCAGGTTGTTGGGAAAGCCTATTCCATCTTGTCGGATAAGCAGAAACGAAGCCGCTACGACAGTACTGGTAAGCTGTCAGGCATGCAAAAATTGTTCAGTTGTTTGAATTCTTCTTTGCGTAGGAGTCCTCGAGGACGAGCTGGTTTCCGACGCGCATCGCGATTGGTTTGCCTATTTTCATGAAATCTTCCCCGCAAAGACCACGCAGGATGTCGATGCATTTATTCACGAGTACATAGGTACTGGTTGAATTTTTTGCAGCAGATTATTATTATTATACAAGATAGACCTGCTTAATTTTTGTAAAATATTTCTACTGTAGCCATTAGTCTTGAAAATGCACCGAAAAATTCTGTTTTTGCTTATTGATTATGATAAAACCATGTATGAATTTATTCAGCAGCAATTAGCCGTACCACTTGATAAACCCCGTACGATGGGTTAAACGCCTCCCGTGGTAGCTGCCCATTACACAGAGCCTCCGTAGAGATTTAATATTGTGCTATGCAGGTTGCGCTGCAGTCTGCAATGGTTTCTCTGCTAGTAACACTGCAGTTCTGTAATCTGTCGTGTTCAATTTAAATTATTGAAATTGATTTCAGTTACATTAAAATAAGTTTTTACTAAGTACGATGGAGAACTGTGTGTTCGATATATTATATTATATATATTATAAAGGAAATCCTTCTTTGTTTCGTTTGTTAAGCTGTACAGCGCTTGTGTGTCGCTATGGACTATCGATGGACAGTACTGTATTAAGTGTAGCCTCTACGGTCTATCCATGGCGAACTTTTGAGCAGACTTTGGCCTCACTTTGCTGACTTTAATTACTGTCTTCACATTCGGAACCCGGAATGCCAAATCATCCAGCAACAGAACAGCAGATCATCCAGGAACATCACAGTATAGGATACAGCGCAGAAAGAGCCAATCCTACTATGCAACTCGAGTAGTATTTTGCCCCACTTCAGAAGTTCCCTATCTTATAGCTTGGTGTACTGTTCCTGGATGATCTGCTGTTCTGTTGCTGGATGATTTGGCATTCAAACAATAAGTAAAGTCAGCAAAATCTGCTCGAAAGTTCGCCATGGATAGACCGTTGAGGCTATAGTCTACACTTACAGTACTGTACAATGTACATCGATAGTCCATAGCGACACACAGGCGCTGTACAGCTTAACAAACGAAACAAAGAAGGATTATCCTTTATAATATATATCGAACACACAATTCTCCATCGTACTTAGTAAAAACTTATTTTAATGTAATTGAAATCAATTTCAATAATTTAAATTGAACACAACAGATTAAAGAACTGCAGTGCTACTAGCAGAGAAACCATTGCAGACTGCAGCGCAACTCTACATATCTCAATGTTAAATCTTTACGGAGGCTCTGTGTAATGGGCAGCGATCACGCTAGGCATTTAACCCATCTTACGGCGTTTATCAAGTGGTACGGCTAATTGTGGTTTTTCCGCTCGACCATTTTTAGGACGTGTTTCGTTCGTGTTTTGAGCCGCATTTATTATAGATTCGGAGGAAGAGCAACACGACCTTCTGGTGTATTATGTCCGCTTTAAGGGTCATATGGATAGGATAACGGAATCTATGTTCGGATACGAGTTCCAGCGAGAAGAGACCTTCGGCACCATCATCAACCAAGCCATAAAGGACGGGAAAGTGAAGGATTATGAGGCATTTACCAAAGAGGATCCGAAAAAGAAGAATCGCCGTCGTATACGTGTACGCTGCGCACTTCCATAGTATTATACTGGTTACAAGATTTGATCCTTCGATTTTTGTAATTAGGGCTTTTAACGGTTGCTTTGTAACTACAGGAATTAGAAGCAAAGAGTACATCTACGCCGCCGCCCGACCCGGCGTGGCTGCGTAAGAAGCCATTTTTGATCAAACTTGAAATTCTCGGTAAGTAAATAATATTAAAAAAATGGCCCGGCACATGGTGTGAAATATGGTATACGTACACACGCTAAAATTTTCGCTTTCGCGCAGTCCGAATCACGTTTTTGTGATACTTTATGTCATCCTAAAGCTAAATGATTTGTTTACATTGTTCTGAAAACTGTTTGTGCACGCAACATCCGGTTGCCGAGATATGGCGTACTAAAATGGGCGAAAAGTTTGTTGTGTACCAATAGTCCGGTTATTACCCGATTTTCTTGAAACTTTGCTGTAAGACACATAGCCATAAAGTCGAAAGTGAACCAGTTTCAGGCTCATAGCACTTTCCCATAACTTTAAAATGAATTTTAAATTTTTTGAGATTCATTCTGAAATTCGAAAAAATTTAATTTACGATGTACTGCAAAACGCATAGGGCGTTTGGCGTCATCAGTTGTGACCGTCTACTATACCACATTTAATCGTTTTCTTTAGATAAACATAATGTATATGGATTCTTCGAGGATCTGCAATACGTTGGAGATTCCTCTACCCCGGAAGCCGTCCTGGAATGCTTTACCGCGAAGGTTAGGCAATTATAGACCCACTCACTTTGAATGCTGTAGCATTTTATTGTATGTAGTTAAACCGCTATCGTGCCTGTTTTCAAAAAACAGGATAATTTTGCTGTCGTATAGTGCATCGTGATCAGCACAATATCGGCAGGCTACGCGTAAACAGCAGCCCGTAAACTAAGCGCATATCGTTGAACTGCATTCGAACGCTTCGCAGTTTTGTTACCCCCTGAGCAGATCGATAATATAAAAAGGCTTTTTCCAAAAAGTTCCCATTACAGCTTCTCGAAAAACTTTTTTACAGGTTTTGAAACGCTATATCTTTTCCCCGTGTTAAACTACACTTCAAACATCGGCACTTTCGTGTTAGTAACAAAGTTGTTACCCTGGATAACATTTCGTTGAACTATGTACAACAGTATTAATGCCTGCAATAGTATTAATGTAATAACGAAACAAACCTGAAATATGAGAATTATAAACATTACGTGAGTGACACCACCAAGGAAGCCGAGCTGACCGGCTCAGACTTGGCTGGGCACGCCAGTGAGGGACAGAACGCTGTAGCTTCAGTCGGTCAGGACGAGCAGCTGCGCAACTCAGATCCGTCTCAGGGGATAACACGCGCCTCTCGTGTTAGGGGGCTGGAAATGTTTTGTTAATGATTGTTTACGATTGAAGTCAAGAATCCATTGTTTTCGAGCCGGATTTTTTTTAAAATGTGGGTTACATATTGTTTAACTGGATTCATGCTCCAAATCATTATTGACGTTTTGTAATTAATTGCCTAACCTTCACCTTTAGGATGATCGATTTTCGGATTTGAATCAATATTGGGATCCGTCGGTGAAGGTCCTAGATTTTATCCGGTCCGCGAGTGAGAATATTCGTGATGTAATAATGTTCGCTGGTTTGCCCTGTATGAGACCTGATTTTTTGGACCGGTTTGCGTAAGTTTTACATATCATGGGCGATTCGGCCTACCATTGTTTTCACTACCGTTGTTTAAGGGATTTGGCCCGGTACATAGTACCAAATTCGGGTACATACACGGGAAGTTTCGCTGTCGCGCACTCCTAAACTCTTTTTTGCATTGCTTTATAACATTTTGTAGCCAAATGATTTATACACGTAGGCGTGAAATCCGTTTGCGCGCGCAACATCCGGTTCGGGAGTTATTAGTGAAATAAAATTCCAAAAGTTTAAACGCGCGGAGGTGTACCAAAAGTCTCATTGTGAACCGATGCTCTTCAAATTTTGCACGAAAACACACATTACTATGAAGATGGTTTTGGTACCAAACCAGCTTTCTACCATTTTTTTTCAAATTTTAAATTAATTTTTAAAATTTTTGAATTCCATTTTAAAATTTAAACTTAGTGTTAATAAGATTAGGCCAAACCGCTCGTCTCCCACCGTAGGGCAAATCGTCCATGTTCCCTTTATTCTATGTCGCCACGTAGAATAAAGGGGCATTATACGGTTAGTACAATGACAGGCCGAATCACCCTCTGAACCCGAGTGGGAATTGGGGAAGTGTGTACTGATATGTACATTTAAGGTATTTTAGCATCTGTTAAGCCAGTTAATAATTTTTAGTGGAACGAGTGGAGGAATATGCGTCAGTGAATGCAACCCTTCTATGGCGTCAGGTAATTTACTGCAAGTAGATATCATTTTAAATATTTACTTGGATCATTCGCCAATGCGAAATTCAACCTCCATAAACTCTTACGTAAAATTATTCGGCAGAAAAGTTAGCAGCTGCTATTCATGGCTGGTGCGAATCTTGCTCCGCGGAATCCCAGCCAGAAACCAGTATGAACAGCACCGTCATGGAAGTGGTTCAGTCGGTTGAAAAGCGTCCACTAGAAGACTCAGCAGAATCGTCGCAGGAGACAACCAAAAAGCCCAAAGGGGAATTGGATCGCTTCCGTCCGACGAACCTCTACGACCGTCAGATCCGCTTATGGGGATGGGAAGCCCAGCAGCGCCTGATGAAATCCCGCTTGTTGATGTACGGCCTGAACGGCACCGGGGCCGAGGTGTTGAAGAATCTCCTTTTGGGCGGTATCCGCTACATCACGGTCCTCGATGCCGCCAGCGTCACCGAGCCCGATATCTCCACCAACTTTTTTCTCCGCGAACAGGACGTGGGTCTGAATCGGGCGGTGGCCAGCGCGGACCGTGCGCGGGTCCTCAATCCGATGTGTACGTTGGAGGTTTTAGACGGCGATGTCACTATCATCAACACGGAACTCGTCAAACACTTTGATCTCGTCCTGGTCAATGGTGCCAGTATCAAGGATGCCGTGCACATCGCCGGGGTGTGCCGCTCCCTGCACATTCCCGTGTACATTTCCCAAATGCTGGGCTTCCATGCCTTCTTCGTCAACGATCTGAACCAGCTGGATTTTGAGATTCCGCCGAGTAAATCGAATACCGCGGCGGCCCCCAAGGCGGATGCCAAGACCAATGGTACCTGTACCACTGATCACTTCTTCTCAAACGCTCCACATTTCAAGTTTTTAAATCAGATCGGGCTTGGAGCTGAGACGGCTTGAAAAAATTAAATGCGAGTTTAAAACAGTGGCATAGTGTTAAAAATAACGATGTTCCAGTGACACTAGTTATTACTGTTAATATTTCATTAATATTGTCTTTGTTTGATGTGGTAAAAAGATTATAGGAAAATAAATCTAAAAAGTCGATTTTTTAATTTTTATTTCAAATCAAATCCGTAAACGGCCTATATACGTTTGAATTTCGTTTCTAGGTACCCCGCCATCGACCAGTAAGATGTCCAACGGGGAAGCGGAAGTCTGCACTTTTACGGAGGATAGCGCCAATACTGAGCCGCAGACCCTGCACATTACCGCCACGCCGCTGGAGACGGTGCTATCATCCGCAGCGGTGCAGCGCTCCGGTGCGGCCTGTCCCATGGCCAAGCGCTCGCTGGGCATGAAGCGCATTGATCCGTATTTGAACATGGAGATGGTGCTGTTGTTTGTGGAACAGTATGGACGCTACCCGGCCTACCAGACCGTGGAGGATGATCTGCCGAAATTGCTGGAGATTGTCAAAGGGCTGCAGAAGGACGGCGACACCCGGGTGCTGGAGCCGGCAGAGTTCTTGAAACCGGATACGAATTTCGCCTGTGCAGTGTTCGGGGCGACCTTGGCGCAGGAGCTGATTACGGTGCTGACGCGCCGCGGGTATCCCATTTTTAATCTGTATTATCTGGCGGACATGGATGCGATGGGCAGCCGCGAGTATGTCCAGTAAGGGGTGGTTTTGTATTGATTGCTCTCTTGTTTCTTCGAAGTTTTATTGAGCTGGTTATTATGGCGGTTTTGTGCGTGGAATTGCTTTTGAGTGTTTGAAGTTTTCCATAAGAATCTTGCTGTCGGTTACAATTTTTTATTATTTTTCAGTAAGAAAGTTCATGCCTGCATATCATCAGGAATATTGAATGAGTGCTTAATTTTATGGGTCGCTCGAGTAAAGACGCAGGAGTTTGACAATGGTACGGCATTTGTCAGTCGGTTTGTTGTTTCTCTACTTGTATATTTATTACCGTAGACCTAAGTCTAACATTGTACGATACGGTAGGGTAGCACCTGATTTTGTTACTGACTTTTTCCCGCGAATAATTAATGTTAATGACAGACACTTTCTCGAAAAGCAAGCGCGATTAGTGTTAAATTGTACAAGTATTTTCACACTGCAGTGACTCCACCGACTAGCAGAGACCGACTTCCTTCGTATATTATGTACAACAATAAAGCAGAAACAACACCACGCAAGGAAGCGTTTGGGAAAAAGCATTTCCGGTCACACAGCTGCACAGACACGACAGTTTTAATTTATTTTCGCTACATTTACCGTTATCTGGTGTTAAATTACAGTAATAACCGCTGTTACGAGGTAAACCATCGGTTATTACCACAGGAAATTAAACGTTGCTTTATCCTTGTAGTTAAACCTCTCGTCAGTGCTTCACATCACTTGGATGTGGGCTTCTTCGACGTCTTTTCGACAATAGGGTTTGCCTTCCACGTTAAAGTATTCCATGCCGGTTCCCATTGTATACAAAGCATCTCCGCAAACCTGCATAAAAAAAAACCTTAGATACGCATTTCCAGATCTTTTACACAATTAGAATTTTTTGAAAATGTCTTATCCGGCATCGGGCTGGCAGCACACAAAAATATTATCCTTAAGTTTTTTACACTTACGATAATTAATACCTGCGACACTAATACAGAATTCTATGTACTAGTAAGGTATTTGTGTACTTATATCTATACTTCTATGTAATTGTACACTGCTTTAAATTAATCCTGCATAGTTGCCGGTCTCTTTTTCTTACCACGCACACAAAGCAGCTGGGATGATAGTACGTTGACATGGCCTTCAGTTTGTCGCCTTCGATATAACCATTGCATGCTGCACAGTGAGGCGCAAATTTATCCCGATAGCAGTTATCGCACATTGGTCCGTCGTTCGGCAACTGGAAACTGCCGGTGATCCGGTTCTGGCATAAATGGCATTTAAAGCAGTCCACGTGCCAATCTCGTTGCAACGCTCCCACACTCACCGATTCCTGTAAAATTAATAAAAAATATTTTACTTGAGTTAGATAACAAAATCATTATTTGCTGACTGACCTCCGTTAAATGGATATGCTTATTACAAGCGCAGCACGTTCCCGAATACACGCTATCGAAGCAGTTGCGATGGAAGTGCTTATCATGCAGCGCCAAATGCCGGTCATCATTGATGACCTCCGAACAGATAGCGCAATGCTTCTCATCCACATCATCCCGGACATTAGTTTCCCGGTACCATGGTTGATGGAATTCCTGATGGAAACCAGGCGGGCGGTATTCTTCCACCGTGCGACCTATAAACATGTCGGCCGGGCAGCCGACCGCTAGCGGCGGTTCCATTAGCGGTGGCGGCATAGCCATGCCGGAATCCGGTTCGGTCAGTGACCCTTGTCCGTGGTAGCCGTCAGCCACACTAGAGCGGCGGCGTTCCGTAATGTACTTTTCCGGAATATGATTATCCGGAGCCGGTTCCGACGCCAGCGTTGCGCTGGCCATAATAGCCTCGATGCCATGTAGACTGTCGCCGACACGCTCGTCATACTGTGGCCACTCGATGCGACCGTTGCCGTGCACGACAAAAGCGTCCTCTTGACCGAGCTCCACTGTGTGATGGAGCTGCTCCGCTGTTTCTTTATTCCAGGCAATCTGCCCGTCGTCTTTGACGTCGAACGTCATTTCGTGATCGGATCGAACCTGCGTTTCCGTTTCCGGTGCTTGGGCGTGGCCGCTGTATCCATCGGCGACACTTGAGCGGCGCCGCTCCTGTGACGCATGATGCTCATCATGGGCGTGGTCAGTCGATACTCCGACGATATCCTCGGATGGCGCGTGGTGGTCGGCGTGGCTATGGTCGTCGGATGACCCGGTGGCATCGCGGACAAAAGTCTCCACCGCTTCCACAATGTCGTTGATCCCATCGCGGGCTGCAATGTACGCCGACTCGACTATCCCATGTTCGTTGGCAGCCGCTGGCTGATCGTCACTGCGGACGTGGGTGGTTTCATCCGCGCGACTGCTCCGTCGTGATGCCGGGTGCTCCTTGACCATGCTTTCTCGGCGCGAGCCGGAATTCCCTGTAATAATTTCTTCATGATGGCTCTCGTGATTGCTCTCATGGTGACTTTTAGCTAGGCTTTCTCGGCGAGAACCAGCATGGTCTGTAACAACTTCTTCATGATGGCTTCCGTAACTGTCCTCAGGATGACCTTTAGCCAGACTTTCCCGGCGCGAACCGGAATGCGTTAAAGCAACCTGTTCATGATGGTTTTCATGACTTCCTTCGTGGTGACCTTTGTCCGGTACGCTCGCACGACGCTCCTGGTGCTCATTTACGCTTTCGCGTCTGGAAGCCGGTTTGCTTCCCGAATGATGCTCGGTACCGGTTATCGTATCTCCGATGTCGCGTACAAACGTCTTCACGGCGTCCACAATTTCCTCCAAACCGTTTTCCGGATGATGATCATGACCCGGCTCGTGTCCGTTAACGTTATGGTGCACGTCATGCTCGGCCATTCGAGTTGCTTTATAATAGAAGTTTAATAACTGCTAAAACGTCCTGCCAAATGTCGTCTGTAATCGATCAGGTGTCGGCGCTATCTGAAAACGATATGAATTTATTGTAAACGGAACCGATCACGGAAAGATGTTAGCCAAAAACGGATCAATAATAACGAACGCGTGGTAACATATTATCGAGCTAGACGCGGTACACTAAATATAAAGTAAACATCGAACCAATGGAAATGGTTGTGTCTGCGGGATCATGTTTTTATGTGACAAGTCATTTGCATAACTGTCTATGTAGGCGTCGCGACAAGCATTTCGTGGCATTGATTAAGCGATCATTCTGCCAAATCAGCAAACTCAGCATGTGCATCATATAAGGATGAGTCAAATGGTTCACATCCTGAACCTTTCTTAAGAAAATTTACTCCTAAAGGGATTTTTGTTACTTACGACGTAATTTCTCATAGACAATTAGATGCTTAACATTTATACCATTCAATAGTTAAAGTCGCTAAACACGTTTTTGGTTCAGTTAAGCGCGTCGTAATAATGCAGCAGAAGGGCATCAATTCTGCATTGATACCGAACTCAGATATAAGCGCAAAATAAATTTGCAATATGCACGTCTGATTGCTACGTGCCTAATCAAGTAATGTCGTCCGTATATAAATTGTGAAATGAAAAATATGAAATCATTTTTAAAAAATAGGGCATTCATAACTGTATCAGTGGGCCGATGGCCGAGTCAATGCCCCCTCTGGGTGGCAGTCAGCATGAGTCAGAGCACCCCTAACTTACATAAACTTTAATTACCAATTAAAAACTGGCGCACATTATCGTAACATGGGTTTTGCACTATTTTACATAAAAAATTCCCATAGACGTGGGACGCAACCTATTGACTTTCTGACGCGCCGCTTGTGTTTGGGGATGAGCGTCGCTCTCTATAAACACATAAGCGTAGAGCTTCCCGTCTCCGTTCTGGAAATTTAACGAAGGACAACAGGAGATGGTCGGAACAGGCTACCTTTGGAGGAACCAAAACTTGAGCGCCATTGTAAAGCGTCCAGCTAAAAGCCATCCCCGCTAAAATATATCAGGTGGATAGCTAATCAAACACAGATTATTGGGGCAGCTTCGAAATCCTTTTTACTCATCTGTCTGATTTTTCGCAATGTGGCGTACCTTGGGGTACCTCTTTTGCTGACTTTTGGTGGTACGCTTTCTCCAGTTTAACTCTCTAACGCAAAGCCAAATTACTTTAAGGTAGCCATCGGCATAACATCTACACCCACGAAGGATTCTGGTTTTCTTACAGCGATGCATGATGGAAGCTGCAGAAGAGGACAGGGTTCTGATACTGATGTGCGAAGCCTTAATCGTGGAGCACTCCGAAGAACTTTTTTGCTTCTTTACAGCATAGCAACGATATTAGTAACAAAAATAATTTTGTGTCCTGAAACTATTACAAATTAGGTATAACAATATGCAAACATTTTGAAAACTTTCTTTGAAAAAATTCAAAAAAAAGGAGACAAGAAGTGATTTACTGGTGTAATTTGGCATTACGACGGACCAAGACCATTGCCTCTAAATATTAGAAAAATTATGCTGATAAGCGCGGTGTAAAGATACTTCCGCAAATAAAATTATTAATTGCACTAGACTTTCGCAGTTTAAAAAAAGTTCCAGATCTAAACGATTCTCTGCAGGGTAATTAGTTAACGAACAAAGACAAACTCGAAGAAAATTCTGATGGTCCATAACTAAAATAATTTCGTAACTTTTTTGCATCAACATTTCCAATCGGGACGCAGATGCAATCGATGTGTAGAGAGTGTATAAATAGTATTTTGAAAATGTTGGATTAATTGTATGAATCTGGGAATAAATAAAAAATATACGACATGACTTGATTAGGTACCCTTTAGTGATATTCTTGTTCCGTCAACACAAGCTGTTGTTTGTTGTAAACTTGTACTGTAATAGGTAATAAATAAATTTTTACGGGACTGCGTATTGCACAGAAAATTTATTAATGAAAAATATTGAGGAATGATTACACAAGTTATTAGTAATCTATTCTCTATCGCTGCTTCATGGTAATGACACCTTGGTCAACGTACTTTCCACAAGAAATTCGACGTCAGCACTAAATTTCAAGTGTTGGTTCCAGGTGAGCAATATTAATCATGCGAGATACAATGGCTTACGATGGTAGCAAAATACTAGAGTAGTAATCGCAATATTATAGTTACTAACGAATAACGATCCCGTGTGACAAATTGTCCCGAAACGCAACCAAAAGAATGACTCATATTCTCCAACAGCATGCAGTACTTATAATTGAATTATGACACGCGCAACAAATTGCAGGCTATCCTAATACGAAATGCGTAATAATCTATTCACTCAAGCGTCACAATACTGCAAAGAAAATTACTTGTAAATGTAATATGCAGTGCTGTACAATACATATGATAGCCCAATTTCAAAATATCTGCATATATTCATAATGTAATACACGAATAGGTTGAATACTGACTCGTGGGTAGTATCAGCTGGATATGCAATACAGGCACAATGATACACTCCCAAGCAATATTAATGTTGCAGAAAAAGCTCACACAGTACCCAACAGAATATCGTAAGCTAATTAATTTCATTTACAAAAAGCTCCAGTAGTGCTTACTACTTACAGCACTTACCATTAGTACTTACAGTTAATAACTTTAAAAGTTGCACCGGCTATTCATAAACTTTGGGAGGGTCAGGATTCTGGAATAAGTGGATGTAAGCAAACGTAGCAAGTTCGTCATTTAAAACTTTTTAATTAAAACAGTCCAGCCAAGTGTATCGGTATGTCGCAGAAGCATGCATTACCCGGTTCTACGGCAAGCAATTTTTTGACGTGCTTTAGACATCGTCGGATCACAACACGCCGTCTTTAGAATGGCATGTTTCAGTATACTTATGGAGCCCCTTTTTATGTACATTTTCACGTCTAAAATACATGGTCTACGGAACTATATTATGGCTTTTTGAAACTCAAAAAACACCCATCCAAAGGACATCTTTTGGATGAATAAGACATGGGCGCTTTGTTCTAGAATAGAACCGGGTTAAAATAACATCAACATGGTCCAGCGTTACAGACGTCTGAGTGTAATAAATTGGCAAGTTTACTTACGTTTTTCATACGTCGCATAAGAGCGGGTAAAAAGGTCTATAGAGAAATTTCTGCCGAGGTGTCGGTGTTTATTGAAGAGAACCTTATGAGTAAGCACGAAAGGAGTAAGGGACGGCTTTCTCCAACTGTTTATACAGCGGATATAGAAAATTAGAAATGAATTTGTGTGCAGTTGGGTAAATTATATTTTGCGGCTTATACACGCCACAATAGTGTGCGGCTGTACCTGGAAAACGGATAAGCAGAAAATTGGATACTGTGCACTTATATCGATCTGGATGTTAGATGTTATTGGCAATCGTTAAAATGTATTGTCATCCTATCACGTGGCTTAGGATCGGCAGCATGGGCAACTCCAGGGGAAGAATTTTTTGCTGGCTCTTCTGAACTTGGTTGAAAAGGCAACTTTAACGCATTATATAAGGACGAAAATAGATTTGCATTGTAAACTTGCACTTCTTGGTATTTTTTTGTTAAGTGCATGACCTTATACGTGTGACGGTGCAACTGCATCGTTATACAAATTTCCGCTATTTATAAAACATTGTTTTGTACTGCGTTAGACTTCCCGGCGACGATTTCGGTGAACATCTGTATGTATACGAGTATCAACTTATAAATGGAAATTCAAATTCTTATGGTGCTGCACATTAAAAAAGACTGAAAACAGCAAGCATCTTTAAATTAATTTAGATAAATCCAACATAAATCAAGTTTACATAAATCAAACAGCTCATCTGGCTGTTGCCATATTAGCCAAACGCGCGGGAACATATGTACAGAAACAGTACCTCTGCGACGGTTGTTGTTTCGCTGCCGTATTTTAATATTCATAGTTTTCCACAACTTCTATAATACTTTATGTCAGTTTTGCTGTACGTAGTCAGCTGCGTACCTATTAGAACATAGTCAGCGTTTTGGCGATGTAATATCCCATTGCTTGCCAGTTCTTACATTATGGAATTTTTGCCGGTCATGATCCTGATCCTTCGCGCACAAATGTTTTGCTGTACAAAACTTGCCTGCATTACACTTCTTCGACATGCTCATATAGGAAAACGAATTAGATTCAGGCGATATTTAGAGGAGAAATGCAGTAAAGGGATCACTTCTGCAGTCAGAATATGCAGCGCCGTTCCCTGATTAACGACTGCTTCTGCCGTATCGCCAGCAACAGCGTGACCTTTCGGTCGGCCTGTAAGTGGACCATGGTTAGACGATTTAACCAAGTTAGATGATATTTGCTAGGCTGCTGCAGATACACCACCAATCCAATACACCTGTGTTTCCTGTGCCAGCACAGCAAAACTTAATTCATTAATACAAGGTACACAACCTGCAGAACTGCTGATGCTGCCCAGTTACGAATACACCATAAAAAATTAAAGTACAAACAACGCGAGCGTAACAGAAAACATTTGGAATACATATGAAAACTCTCCACTTCCTACAAATATCCACACTTTCCTCAATTTTGGACTGATGTGTGACTGTTCCTAAATATCAGTGATTTAAAATAAGAGAATGAATATGCGAACGAGAATTTCGCTCGCTCGAATTATAATGTAGCGAGTACGGGACCGTGGTCTATGTAGCGAGTACGAGACCCGCTTCCCAGCCCGATAAGAGCGTGATAGCGGTCCATGAACATCTGCACAGGAAAGTGGTGGTCATGCAGGTGATACAGGTACTGCAGTGTCTCGTCGGTGCCCCCACCGTAACGCCACGCCGACATGGCCATTTCCGCCGTTATGATGCCGAAGCCGACCAGCTGCTGCTCTTTATATATGCCCATCATGATACGCAGCTTTGTCGGTCGATGTCAGAAGTCCCGCAACATCATCAGAAAAGTCGTTGTAACTTGTCTTCAATCGAACTGCCTGCCCAAACAATTACTCATAAACTTTTGAAAATGTGTAACTGATTTGACTCTTGCCATTCTCAACGCCTGGAGCCAAAATTTAAAGTTTTGGTTGGTAATAAAATGTACAGAATAAATACGACGGTTTGTGTGCATTTCAGTATGCCGCAACCTCCGCGATTGAGGGATTCACTTTCCGTCGTCCGGATCGGGACGATATGCCGGTTCTGGATATCTCCAGCCGGAAATTCGCGGACGCGGCTTGGCTGGGGGAATTATTTGGTATAGCGCCAAGCTAAGGACATGTAGGAGATCGGCGAAACGGACAGTTTCATGTTCATCAGTGAAGACAATGTAGCCTCGAAGAAGGTGTTCACCAAAGGTGCCGGCGCAGTGCGACAGGAAGACTGGAGAATTGTGGATGTGCTTTACAAACCGCACAATGTGCATAAAAACGATCCACTTATGATATGGTATAACAATATACACGGCGAGAGTCAAAATTAATAAAGTTTTAAGTATCTGTTCGGGTAACCACAAAATAAAGAAAATTCAAAACAACGCAGACACCAGGTCAAAAACGCGCCAGGGGGTTAAGCTAGGATTGTTATCCGTATTTTCATTACACACAGACATGCCATCATTTCCGACACAGCCGAGCACTGCGCAAAGCTTCCAGCGCTCGTTCAAAGTACGTGATCCAACACCGTCTCTGTCCATTCAACATTCGCCCGATTTTGTTCCCTCCTCAACCAGCGATTCAGCAATAGCTTCCCGTACTTGAGATACCACGCTCGTTCTTCGTCCTGTGCGCATTTACACCCATACCGAAAAGCACACATCCAAACCAGCATAAGCTGACCCATTCCGTCTAATCCATACAACCGCGAGTACTTAATTCTACAGAATGGCAAAACACACCGGTTAAAAATTTCAGCGTATGCCTCTTAAATTAACGATAACTTACTACTAAAGTTCAACCGAATTCTCCCTGGCGGGTGTCCCAGCTGATGGTGGGTGTTACCGCGATGATCCTGCGCGCCCTGTAACACCAGCTTGATAACGATCTGAATCAAATTACGTTAAACATGAGATTTCAACAATATATCTGTACAGTTGTTTCTAGAGCATTAATGCACAGCTTTTGTATGAATGCAGCGGGTACTCGTAAGCCCTTATTGTCATCACTCACCAGGAGCGGACACATTGCGCAGTATTCCCCGGTCCGGCACGACTGAACGCTGCTGCGCCGGTGCTGTCATACTCGATCGCCTTGGCGTGCAGTTTCAGATGCCAGTTGAGACTGTACTTGGAATTTGTCCCAAAATCGCACTGGTTGCAGTGCTCACTCCCCTCCCCGCCATGCATATGGTTTCCGAGGTGCTCCGTAATTTCCTTCGTTCGCTGCTTGGTCTGCGGGCACCGGGGGCACTTGTACTTGCGTGCCCCATTATCATCGCGCAGGGGAATGGGTGGGGTGCTGTCACCGTTCGCTGGTGGTGCAGGGCGGCGGTTGACTGGCTGACCATTGGCATGAGTGACCGGTGGGTCAGCCCAGGAGAGGGATCTCTTGGTGTGCTGCTCGGCAGTCCGCTTAAGCCGCTTCGGGGAGGGTGAACCGCCGTCGCCGGTTTCCGATCGAGCACGGCGACGCCCAGATGAACTAGCCTCGGCCAGCACACGCACTGTACACGATAACCACAACGTTACAGTTAGTGCAAAAGGACTGCGTATGTATACAATACGAATACAGCAAGATATTGTGGGCTCCGGAGGTGACACGCATGCATGCAGATATAAAATTTTACTCGGTAGTTACGATTACAGTAATATCATTACAAATACCAGACTAGTAGTCTTACCTTGCACGCAAGGTACACCGTATTTTGTATAGATATTTTAAAATTTTCTCGATAATGTACGAACTCAAGTAATCACTTTAACCACTGAGTAGCGTATCCCACCATATTCTCAAAGTATATTAATTTTTACGTAATATGAAAAATTAATATGAATCCTGCAGCTGTCTAGACTACACGTTTGGTTATTATTGTTACGTAATTTCAGTATCTTATGGACTTCGCGTATTACGAGTATTACTGCATTCGCGGAGTATCGCTCATTATTATTATTATTATTGTTATTATTATCGAACCAACAGTAGCCAAACTCCACTTGGGAGATTTTTAAGGCTATTGGAAATTATTTTTGGTATTTTGAAAATTTTATACTTTTTTTGGTTTGATTTTATGAGATAAAAGTTACTCATCTGGGAATCGACCCAGGCATACAGTTCAAAAGCCGAACGTATTACCACCAGGCTATGAGCAGATTAACATAATATATAATTAGGGCTGGTGTATCATGGCTCATGTATTCTGTTAAACTTCTTAGGCTTTTTTTTTAAATTTCCTGGGCTCATGGTTTATTAGATTTCTTTGTGGAATGCATGTGGCTTACATAAGGTACAATATGTACGCTATAGGAATACCATAAGGGTACGGCAGCGGATCATACAGAAATACTACGGTAAACAGCGACAGGATGCATGCCGGATATACGGAGTACTTAGGGATGATACGAAGAACATAGCAGAAGCCAGACATTAGAAAGATGCAACACGTAAAAAATACTGCCAGCTGGTTTACTGTAGTCTGTGGGGACAATTCACATTTTTGAAAAAAACTGATATGCCCCAAAAAATTAACGTGTACAAACTCGACCCTATCGTCCGGCGCTAGCTGCCTGTCATACTGCTGCACAATAACGAGGCGGTCAGCCTCAGTCGGGGTTGCTTGTTACCTGTCCTGTTTCCACCCGCGTTTGTTGTCACCTCGGCGCTCCCGGTTGCAGGCGATGATGAACTGCTTGCTGGGATACTGGCTGGATCCTGATGGATGCTCAGCAGGCTGTTCAGGCGGGCGACGATGGCACGCAGCGCGTCCTCCTGGCGTCCCGCAGGAAGCATCATCTGCACCGACACGATGATCTGATTGATCCTGTCGTCGAATGTTGCTTCAGCGCACATCGTAAACAAAAATTAGTTGTAAACTTGTAGATAAGTTGCAAAATTAGGCACAGAAAACAGACCGAGCACATAATCGCCTAATTTGTCATTTGGCAATGCGTAGCAAGTTCACTCATAGCACAGTACTCGTACAGATATTATGAGGTTGATTCGACCAGTGGACGTCGATTCTTTCAAGTTTCAATACCGATGCTGATTTGCCAGAATGTCAGTACAACCTGAATGATTCATCATACGTACGTGATACGAGCGCTCATGCCAATTGTTATTTAACTTTGTTCCAGATGTCACATTTTATACAAAAACATTTTTTTATCTGTTGCATATTCACAGTTATATTGTCAAGTTTGTCTGACCATTGTGGGTCGTGACATAGTCCATGCACACAAGTGTACAACACATCTACCGCTGTGATCCGTCCACTCTAGAGTAGACATCGTTAATTGAAGTTCCGGTACGGTACATTACTTTCATAATTTATTGTACTTGGTAGAAACCAATTTCGGAGTACTTTCACTGACATTTCGCGCACTGAAATGCAATTTTCTGTATCGTTTTCTCTTTTTAAAGCCGCTTGAAACCGGCAAACTGATTGTGCACAGCTGCGACAGTAACAACATCGATAACTTGAGAATTAAAGACATTTGTTACTTTCCGTAGTTATTTTATGCCAAAGATCTATTTCCAGTGGGAAGCAACAGCGGCGGAATTATCAAAACAAGTAACACAACCATTTTAGTTACATCAAGGTATATAGGGTAACCCTATATATCTTGGTTACACATTTCATAAATAATACTAGTACCATACAGGAATTAGTGCAAAAACACTGTCCAACCAAAAATTAGAAACATCATTTTCGATGTACGGCAAAGAAAACCACGAACCAGCGCGAAGGTTGTTCAGTTCAGCATAAAAACAGAATTCAAAATAACGGAAACACCGGATCGCGACGGTTATCCAGAACACAAGCCGCCTTGCTCCACTGTCAAATCCGAACACTTTCCCGAAAAAGTGTAGTCCAGAGGTCATTCTGGCTACAAATAATCAATTTCAAACTGCCGATCTTTTGCAAGTCCAAACTACCAATCACTTTCGTCTCAGACCAGTTTCAGATGTCTTCGTCCAGATCAAGTTCAGGAGCGCACTATAAAGAAACAAATTTGCAAATATAAATACGGGAATAAGCTTTACTGCTGTAAAGATTCGCCACATGAGAAGAGGTGGGCAACTATACATTCATCAAAACAAGTAAGTACCACAACTTACAAAAAGTTCAACAAAGCAGTCAACATCGGTGTCCGTTTTGACCATAAACTGCAGCAAAATAGTGCCGGTATCGTCAATGCGCAGCGATACTTTCTGGGCAATCTGCAGTGGTTTAATAGCGTTTTTCATCAATTTGGGCCTGTATCTGTAGGTGCCTTCTTTGATGCAGACAAAAGACTCAACCAAATCCGAATCTGGAAAAGAAACGAAATGAGAAACTAACAAAAATTGAACAACATTCTGAGGTTACAGCACTGATACGAGTATAAACACTTAGTTTTATAATTTGCATGTACCTTTATCGATGATTACTTCTGAAATAACGTTGTCGGATGTCGTCTTCAATGTCAAGTTTGCCGAGGTATTGCGCACGGAGATCTCGAAGGAATTAATAGGAAAGGCGAGAAGCGTGGTAAATGCATCACGAATACATTCATCCTAACAAAACAACCATTCAAAAAAGCTACCTATTTAACGGTAAAAGTACAATAAGAAATTAAAAAAATAATGTATTACACTGTTCACTGCATCAATGTGGAGCGTGGACTGTACGTGTAGTACAGATAGTCTAAAACGTTAAATGTCAAAATTAACTATGTAAAACACAAACTAATCCGACTAAATTCGAAACACAAAAGGAATCAGAACGGCAAAAAATGACTGACAAAACGTTTGGTGACCGAACTAACGTAGATAAACAACTATCAGAAGCTGCGAAATCAGAAGCCTCTTACAGTGGAGATGATGCGGCAGACGAGATCGTCAGTGTGAAAGGGGAACACATCATCCCTCCCGCCCTCCAGTGTGTTAATCTTGCATTCGGTAAAATGCCGGGCACCGGCCTCCGACAGCAGAACCGAAAAGGGCCGTCCAGCGCCCTGGTACGTCAGTCTTCCCGTTGTATCCGCAGGGCTCATACACATCTGCATGCATTCCTACAGAGATGAAATCCTTGTCAAAAGCTTTCCAAATTTAAAAAGACATGTAAACATACAGCAAATATAACAGTTAATAATCAAGCCAACACTGATTAGTAATACACTTTCTCATAATGACTGATTAGTGTATATCTATATATCTATATAAGCATAGCTCAATGCAGTTCGTAACATGTACAGTATGAACACTCACAACAAGAAATCCGGACACTGACAGCCATTTCCACTACTATAGCTTACGGTTAGCTTATTTACCTATAAACATAGACTTATCCAAGAAAAGCTCAAAACGTAACCAGTCGTAACTGAGATATCGAAGACTGTATTGCCCCTGCGGAATAATAGGCTGTGTACTGCACCTAAACCATTTCTAAAAAATTATCATTTACTGCCACTACAATAATTATAACGAAAACGAGCATACAGCGAGAAATTCACAACCAAAAAACAATGAAGTACTGCAGCCAGTGTACAGTACTAGACAGTCACTCACAACCAGGGTTTTGATTTTGATCTTGAAGTTGATGGCAGCTTTCGTTAGGTGATATCCACTAAACAGCTCTTTCTTCAGGTAAGTACTTCCCTGGAAACTTCCAACGTCTTCCACAGTAACGTGAATCCCGCGTTCCGTGATATGTAACGTAGCGAACTAAAACATGGAGCACACAAACAGGTCACGCCAATTCAAAGATTCAAGATTAGCAGCTGGCACTCACAAACTCACCAACTGCAGCATTACAAATTACAGTTTACACAGCTTAACACTCGAACATCTGTCATCGGTTTAAAGCAGCTGATTCCATTAATCATTGCATGTTCTGGCTTACCTCGCGAATCTGAATACATTTCAATATATTCACAACGGACTTGATGTTATCCATCTTGGCCACAAACACATAATCAGCCAAATTGAGGGGTTTCGGGTCGGGAACCGCGACTGGGGCTGGAGGAGTACCATCAATCGTTGTCATTGCAATATCAGCACTCTTGACTTTGCCAGGCATCCTGACTTGTAAATGTAACAATTAATTCCCTCGCATCCGGAATGAAAACCTAGAGCAGAGAAAACTATCCACTTCCTGACTTGTTGACCACTGGTAAATACAAATTAACTAGGAATCGCAAGTGCGCCATTAAAAGTATGAAGAATATTTGAAAAGTGAGAATACGTGAGATCGAGAAATTTTGAAAACTGAAAACCCAAACAAAAACAGTGATAGGTTGATAAATATGACGTAGGCGCCCCCTAGCAGGTCCGCATTGCGAAAGCCGCGGCTGCATGGGGGGTTAGCGCTGCGACAGGCCCTCAACCTCATGAGACTGGCGAAGTCCTCGTATATTTCCGTTATTTTTGTATAACTTTTTAACGTTGCCGTTATTTTTTTACAGTTTATTTATTTACAAGTTGAAACTTGAGAAAGCTGCTATTATAAAAATAATAAGCACTTATAAAAAAACTGCATGCGGGTTGTACTTCTTTTAAAATTTGTATAGCAGCCGAGGGAGGCATGCGAGAGTGTTTCGCCTAAAAGTATCCACGGTGAGTTCGTAATATCAGTCGAGTATCCCAGTATCGCAACTACAAGTGACAAGTCGCCAAGTGGCAAGTGCGTGACTTCGTACACTTCGACATTTATTGTCGTCGTTTTAGATTGGATCATTGGTCGGTTGACAGTTTTGCACAGTTTTTGCTTTGCACAGAAGAGTCGCCACGATGGACGAGGACGATGTTTCGAGGAATGGTTACAAATCGCTATTCATTCAGTGGCTGACGGAATGGAAAGAAGATGCTGCCAAAACCCAGAACAAAATGCAGTATTGCTATGCCAACGTGAGTAGGGCTCGTAAGCTGCTGCGCTATTATACCCGTGTACGTAGTAGCGTTTCTTTGAACTCCGAAGCAGAGCGGCAGCTGTCTGCCTGCGAGTCCACCATTTATCTGCAATCCTTTGTTTGTGTTTCAGGCGTTGCGATCGATTAAAAATTATCCGTTAGCACTGTATGATGGCTATGCCTGTCAGCCTTTGAAGAATTTCGGTCAGTTTCGAGTTTGGATGGTTTATCAAATTCAGTTTACTCCCGATTTTATTTTCGATTTTTATAGGGCCTACGACGTGTAAGAAATTGGAAAAGAAATTAACTGCCTACCTGAAAGAAAATAAAATAACAAGTAGGTCCCCCTTGATGGGCTTCCGCAGTCAAAATTATTTCATTCAAATTTTAATTAACATATTTGATTAAATACTAAAATTATTATTTGGTTAATCATTTAAATTTTAATCGTTTGGTTTCAAAGTTTTGTAAACCAAAACTCTGAAACATCAGCATTACGTATTCGATTATGCTGATGCTTTCTTCCGGTGGTAGGAATATCTCCGCCTGATCCGTTTTTGGCTGCCATATCCGGTGGCTCATCCGGTTCGGTGCCATCTGTTCGTCGCGCCAGTCCTTCCAAGTTTCCCAGCAAACGTGGCGGAAAGCCGAAGAATGCCGACGTCAACAGCGGAAAATCTCCGACAAAGCGTGCCAATCGTAAACGCAAATCCGATCAGATGGAGCAGGACGAGAGCGCCGATATCCTGGGTGACTTACCACCTCCCCGGCCGAAAAAGGCCAGAGCGCCGAAATCCAAGTCAACGGACACCATCACCCTCTCGTCCCTCTCTAGTGTCCCCTCCACCGGTTCGGGAAGCGGTATTCGGCCGGTGTCATCCAGCTCCGTGGTTGCGATGAGCACGGCGCGGATGGTGACCACCACGGTTAGAAGCCAACCGATCTTGACGATCGGGGGCGGCGGTGGATGTGTGGTTAGGACGTTTTCCTCGTCCAGCGTGGAGAGCATTCAACAAGTGGGAAAGCAGCGCTCCGCCAGCAGTGTACAGGACCGCGGTGTGGAGGAAGAACGGTTTGCACTCACTCCGGGGACATTTGATGTGATGTTGTGCGTGGATAATCAGGAGATACATGGAAATGGGTACGGCCAATTAGACGCTCGCATGCTTCCGACATTGACAAAATTATGGTTTTTATTATGCAAAATATTTTTTTTGCCTACTTCTTCCTTTGTCTGATGTTTGTCAGGTGCGCTGTATATCAATATTCATCGCCATTTTTCTACTTGCAGTTTCATACAGTACATTATAATTCGATTTTTTGCGATTATTGCCATTTGCTCACAATTTTCGTACATATTTATTAGTGTTGTTTATGGGATTTTATTTGGTTTTCCCCAAAATTTTTACACCAGTTTCACTGATTCCGGTCCCATTTTTTTCTGGAAACGTTAAACAGTTTATCTGTACATTGTTTTGGAAGCTAATTCTAAATAACCTCCAATTTTAAATAGATGTGTGCGATCAAAAACAGACGTGATTCTGGAGCTGAAGAAACACGGCGTCGCTTTCGATGTGCGCAACTTAAAAGTAGGCGACTTCCTTTGGGTTGCCCGCGAGAAATCGCACCTAGCAGTGGGAAGAAAGCCCCATGAACTGGTTTTGGATTTTATTGCGGAACGGAAGCGTGGCGATGATCTGGCAGTTAGTATCAAGGATGGACGGTACACCGATCAGAAGGTGATTGTCTGGTTCTTTTATAAGGTGAAGCTGCTTTCCTAGAGTAAGTTTTTGTTTTCCAGTATCGAATGAAAGAAACCACCATCAAGCGCGTTATCTATATCATCGAGGACTGTAGCCGTTTTATGAACAAAGGGTTACCGGATCAGGCGCTGATCCAGGCGCTGGCTAACATCAAAGTTCAGGATGGATTTGTTGTGCAAGAGACGGAAAATTTGAGAGCAACCGTGGAGTATTTACTACGAATGACGCGATATCTGGAACGAATCTATTCGGTAACGTCCATCTTGCTTGCATGCAATCGTACCAGTATATTTTTCCACTGGGATTTCGACTACAAACTTCCCGTAAAATTGTCCACTGTGCCGTTATTATGCCAGTTTAGAACAGCGTGTGTTTAGGTTAAGACGCTTCGAAGTACAACTTTCGCCGAGCGGTGGGAGAACGTTGTTGATCTGGATCTGAGCAGTGCTCAACAGGAACTGCTAAGCTTTGCAGGATTTTCTTCTGTAGCGAAGCCGAATCAGGTTGGCTTTTTAGTAGAGCATATTTTCTTTATACCTGTGCCGAGATGGTCAATGTGTACTGTACTGTTTAAACTTTACTCTGTAGGCTAAGACAGTGTCCCAAACGTTTCTCATGCAATTATTGGCATTGGATGGAATGTCGCCAGCTAAAGCTTCTGCTGTCGTTTCCGTTTATCCCACCATCAGAGCGTAAGTCGTGATTTAGCTTGCCGGTATTTTACCGAATGGACGAAAATCCGTTTATGCAGTTATTAGTTCGGCTCATTGTTGAAACGTATAAAAATGAGGCCCATATATCTGTGACGCATGCAGAAAAAAACTGAACTTTAAACTTCGAGAGATATCAAATAGGAGCACGCCACTGATGCCTCACATATTTGCATCGAGCGGGCTATTCTGAAAGCGCCAAAGCCCACTGCCATTTACCGTTTAACGTGCAGTCGGTACATCTTGAGATTAATTTGAAATCATATTACCGTGAAAAGTTATCGGTCGCAGTTCAGTCTATCATGCGAGTATTTACTAAGCTTGTAGCTTGCTTTAAATTAATTAAATACGCCGTTCGCCAGTTAATTAGCCAATGTTGGTACTAATTAATTACTTAATAAGTGATCTATTTTTATATTTAGTAGTAAAAACTAGAACTTCATTAGGTCAGAGACTGCATGCACACACAACTGCTGCAAAGCGCTGCGACAATCTTCTTAATGAGTAATTATTAATTATAGTAATTACCTTAATCAGTTTGCTTGGACGTACGCAAGGTAAACATCTAATTATTAAATTAATATCATTGTTAACTACTGTAGATATTAATACAAGAATTATTAATTAATATAGGAGTAATTAGTAACATATTATAATTACTGTACTAATTAGTAACATTGGTGGCTACTGTTATCATTAATTATTGTCGTAATTGTGCGGATCCAAGGTGTACAACACCGTACTTCCTGCACTGTATACGAAAAATATCCACAATTGGCGACTTTGGCGCTGGAAAAAGCTACTCTCGAGTAGCTTTTTCTAAAGCGACATTCAACATCTATTGGGGCGTGATCATCAACGCGCACAAAATTCATCATCACAATATGGACCAGTTATGACGCATTATCTTATCTCGGGTTTAGTCAACTTGAGCACCATATGCACGATGTGCAGGAATGTCGCAATGTGCAGGTCTAAACTGAACGCCACTATTATGTGTTTGATTATGAATGTCGTTCTGTATTGGTAACCTGTTTTATAGATTAATTGCTGCATACGACGCTTGTTTGACGCAGGACCAAAAAGAGACGATGTTGAAAGATGTCAAATTTGGACTAGGAATGAGGTAAGTTTAAAGTTTTGCTAATTAACTTTTGAGTTCTTCTGTGAAATTTAACAGGGCTCACGCTTTATTTTCTCTTCTCAGAACGATTGGACTTATATTGAGCAAAAAGGTATGCCGACTGTATTGCACGGAAGAAAGTTTCCGGATCTGAGAAAGTGGAAACCGATTTGTATCAAGGCTGTCCAAAATTTTGCGTTTTCTGTTCTTGTGTTGTAACAGACTCTGGCGAGGAGATCACGAGTGATGCTTTATTGACAAATAAAGGGAACAATGCTGCGTAATAGCAGGAAAAGCAAGAACAAAGCACTGATGGCTAAAAAAACAAGTGGTTGCTAACAGGGTTCTTGAGCGTCTGATGGCGTGAAAGGAATGCTGGCGGCAACCACGTGCTGTGTGCCATCAGCTGTGTGATGATGCGCAGACTGGACTCAATCCAACGCGAGCGTATGAACGCTGAGTAGTACTGCGAGAGAGGAACGAGAGAGCAAGTACTGCTCAGTGTGTGCGCCGCGTATATCCGCTTCAGCGGATGAGTGCAGTGCAGCAGCACACGTACGTACAGCGAGAGAGGCGATAACGGCATGCAATGGGTGCAAGTACGTCCTATGTGGACCGTACGCACCAGGCGCAGTCGTACGCCTCTGACATGCCTCTGGGCGGGAATCCGAGCTCCTGCGAAGGATGCTCCGACTCGGTACCGCACCAGTACCGCACAACTCTCCGGTTGGACCCACGTGGGGTCGCCGGTACGCGTCCTCTGGCAGTGGGAGTCCGGTGTCTGGTCGACCGTCCCTTCTTCACTTCCGAACCCATGAGTGGAAGCCACTCACGGCCGAGAAATCCGGAAGCCGCTCGGGCGTTTCGTTGGACCGGTGATGCTTCTGTTGGCTGGCTTCTTGCGTCTGTTGGCAGCGGAGAACAATGTAAAAAGGAAATGTAATGAAAATTTATGCAGCGCGAAAGAAAGTATGAAATAAAGTTTAATCACAATTCCAGTCAGCAAAAGGGGTTACAAAACAGATCTGTCAACGAGATCGAACTAGAAAAATACAATTCCGTTTGTTAGGAAAAATGCTAAAAAAATGCAAAAATCTGTCCGGGGGTCCTATTCCGACTAGGATGACGTCCACGGGGCAATTGGGTCTCCACGGGGTCTCCTGTCCACTTTCATCCGGTAAGTTGGGTCCGGGGCATCGGTTCCCGGGTTACTCGTCGTAACCGGTTACATTCACCGAGGTCGGATAAGCATGGTAAATACTTACTTCCGACCCGTATCCGTCCGTTCGGGATAGAGGCACTGTTGCAGGTGCAAATGCCGAGGCATCCTCTCTGAGTGGGGAATAGGGCCAAGGTCGGTTTGACCAAGGTCGGTTTGACCAAGGTCGGTTTGACCAAGGTCGGCCTACCGGTAAGTCGACCGGCGGCGGGGGTAATTCGGCTATGTTCCGAATTCCGAAAGTTCAGGTCGGAAAAGCTGTGTGTAAGTCGTGCGGCCTGTGTGGTCGTCATGTACAGCAGTTCCGTTAAAGAGTGGTCGGTTACAACCGTTCAATCTGCTACCACGACCTGATTTGGAGTAATCCGAATCGAACTGGCTCGAAGGTCCGATCAGAAATCATGGGTTTCTTCAGTGGAAGTGTCGAGTCGACTTCCATCCGATGTTTTCCGTTATTATCCGACCTATAGTCAAGGTCGGTTATCCTATCGGTCGGTGGTCGACTCGGGTTAACCTGCAATAACATGCCCATGTGGGGCTAAACAAGTTCCGTCAAGTCGAATTCGTCCACCGCAGACAGTTATGCGTCTTCTTCCGTCGTGTTGATTGAGTTAACCGACCCTTTGTTGGTCGGTTAACTTATCCAACTTCCGACTTGGTCAGTTGTCCAAGGTCGGCTTCGGAAGGTCGGATAAACTGTGTTCACCCGTCCGAAAGCTGGGTTCTTCCGTTAGAAGGTCGGTATACGACTTCCAGTTGGATTTGCCGACTTGTTATCGCGTTTTTCCGACCTCCTTTTGGTCGCTTCCGACCTCCGTTTTGAGGTCGGGTAGGCATATCAGTATTCCATGGTCGGCTATGTCCGACTTCCCAAGGTCGGATGATCTGTGTTTCCATCCGTCCAAAAGCGGAATTCTTCCGTTAAGAGATCGGTATTCGGCTTCCAAATGCTTTTGCCGACTTGTTGTTGCATCCTTCCGACCTCCGTTTGGTCGCTTCCGACCTTCGTTTGAGGTCGGGTAGGCGTTCTGCTTGATGGTCGACCTAGACAACTTATACCGTTACGCCCATTGTGGGGCTAGTCGGCACTTGTCAAGTCGACTTCTCTCTGACATGAACTCTGAGTCGGATCCGAGCTACTGTTGGCTAATTATGCCTCTGGGCGGCGGAGTCCTGCGAGGTAGGAGTTTCCTTGGCATCTGTTGGCCCGGTGACTGGCGCTTCATCATGCAGTTGTGCTCGCTTACAACGCTAAGGGTCTTGGTGGCCCCGGTTGACAAGACAAGCTCTTTGGTTTAAACTTCATGCACATGCAAATCCCTGAGGTCATCAGATCCGAATCTTCCGTTTTCTTATGTCGCGAACCAGAGACGCCTAGCCGCTTCTGTTTGGGGTAGACAACTCACGTCCACGGGAAAGTTTTTCGTTGCCGCGAACGAAGGACACGTGGCCGTTTCTGTTGCGGGCACGTGTTCCACGTCCACGGGGTTCGTCAAGGGGATGCAGGCCGTGTGTACTAACACGGTCTGCCTAGGATGTTCCATAGAAGACATGGGGAAGCAGGTCGCGGCGGAGTCGTTGGTACACCAGTAGCCAAATCACCGTCGCTGTTCCTCTTCAGGGAATGGCAGCACGTTCGAGACGCGCGTAGTCGTGGTCACCGATGAATCCGGCTGGTTTACCCGATATCCTCCGGGGGAGACTGCGGTTGGACTCCGGGTACAGGTTTCTAGTTGAGTTCCTGTAGATCTGGGTTCAAACGGAGAATCCGGTTGAACTGCCACGTAACTACTGCTAGCTTCCGTCCATTCTTCCTAGTCGACTTCTGTTGGCCGTTATGGTCGACCTGTGTGGTCGGCCATAATGTCGACTTCTCGTTGGTCGGCTACCATGTATCTAGTCGACCTGTGTGGTCGGCTATGATAGCAAGTCGTAGTTCGGCGATCTGCCTCCTTGTGCATCCATTCTGGGAGTGGAGAATTTCCACAACCGATCTTTGTGATCGGTTTGCAGAACCGACCTTTGTGGTCGGTTAGTGCAGCAACATCCGTTATGTCTCCAAGTTATGGGCGAAGTACAAAGTCGACCTTTGTGGTCGGCTCAAGTACGTATAGTCAAATCCGGGTCTTCCTGCGCTGTTGGCAGCTGGGCCGAGGGATATCCCCTGTTTACACTGGTGAAGGCTGCTCGGCTACCCGGTTCCGAAGTTGGCCACGGGTGCTTGGCAAACACGACGTGAAACGCGCGCAGTTACGTGTTTCGCGCCATGTTAGCGTTATCCTCTCAGTCTCTTCTCCGGAGTCGGTTGGCCGGAGTAATCTTCGTAGCTGATCGTGGTTAATGGCGCGGTCTGTACCATGTAACCTTGATCGTATGATCAGCTCCATGTAACGCGGATTGGGGCTTCTGTTGGCTCCAATGGTAGCAGAACGTGGTTCGCGATATGCTATCTTAGGCCGGGGCGTCTGTTGGCTTTAGGTCGTAGCAGATGTGGTTCGCGATCTGCCGGTGCCATACTGGGGAACTGAGGTCGGTTTGCTCGGTTCAATCCAGGTGATTCCTCGGAGGACGTACCGGTACGGTGAAAGAAGCCGGCTTGTCAGGTCTAACCACTCGTATCCGGGTCAAACCAAAGAATCCGGCTGGCTTGAGTAGTCAGCGTTCTGGCAAAGTCATTGTTGACGTCCGCTGTATACATGGTTAGTCGGTTTCTGTAAAAAAAACTAAGGAAAAATGTCCATTCCGAAGTCGTTTCTCGACGATGCTGTTTCTCAGCTAGACTGGTTCCCAGTCAGGTCGGTTCTCGACCATGCCGTTTCTCGGCGTCAAGTCCCCTTAGATGTTCCAAGTGGGGGATCGAGTTCCAATGTGGGAACTCGATCTTAACTCAGTGGGACTTCGACGGGTTTATCGGCGCCGAAGTAATCTTCTCCGTCTTCGTCGTCCGGGCGAGGTCGGTGGTGTGGCCGCAAGGTCGGGTCCATGGGTTTACAAGTCGCCGGGCCACTCCGTTGAGACATATCGTCAGTCTGATCCGTTTCCTGGCCGAGGCGATCCGTTCTGCCCTCCTTCGATTCCTTGGCCGCCTGTCTGCGGAGCCTCAACGCGTACGGGTGTGCGCCGGGTTCTATTTCGTCCGATATCCAAGTTTCGTAAGGCGCCGAGTTGAATCCGCTAGGCAAAGTCTTTCTTTCACGGTACCAGCTGATAAATCTGGTCGCGTCGTCGCTGGGATCTACGTGATCCTCACGAAAGGCGTACTTTGTCGCATACCGTTCGTGGGTGTACAGCAAGTCGCGCATCCAGACGGCGAGGATAACGCTTCTCATCGGTGTGCCGAGTTGGGCTACGAGGGTTTCCAAGGCCTCTGGTATCATCTCGGTTTGGTACAGACCGTACAGAGTATAATGGCAAAAGTAATTGCCATGCCGTGCTGCGAAGATGAATCGCAGGAATGCCGTGACTCCATCTGGGGCGAGGTCGATCTCCCCTTCTGGAAGACACTGGGTTAAGTCCAGTGCTGCCCGAGCCGCGGTAATTACGAAGGCTGGGTGTGCGTCCGTTATGACGAACTGGGCAATACTCTCCAACTCGTCATGGGGGTATTCCCGAGCTCCTAGTTAGCTCGCACGCGTTCTGTCCGGGCTGTAAAGCGGTACGTTCAATAAGACCGGATCGGTCATCGACGGTAACGCATTCGATCGGGTGTATGGATGTTCAACATTCTGTGCTGTGTGCGCAGACAGGATGAAGTCAGGTTGCCACTGATGTTGTTCGAGCAGCGTCTGATATCCGGATCGAACGAGGAATTCCGAAGGTTTTCTACCATCCGCCAAACCTGTGGGCGTTGTCGTTCCTCGTAGTTCATGGTATTCATGATAAAGTTCGTTCGTTCTGTCGGATGATGCATGACGACTTCAATTCCCTGTTGTCGGGCATGGTCGTAGCGAGGGTCTTCTCGGGCCGGCACTTTTACTTGTGGTAGTTGTGCCATCTGGTCGGCCACATCGACATCCATTTGCTCGGGTTGAGCCGCTAGTTCAGCTTGGATTTCTCCCGCCGGTTCTGCCTGATGGGCTTCCGGCTGCTGCTCGGGTAGGACAAAGTTACGTTTAGACTTATTTGTTAAGTCGACCGTAAGTCCGATTCCCGTTTCTCCAGATCCAGTCCGTTTTCCTGGTGGAGGTCTGGTCGGTTCTTTCCCAACTTGGCGGATAACCGCTCGTTGCTCTTCGATTCTGTCTCGAAGATCAACAGGACCAATCCTGTGTCGGAGGTCGTGTCCCGCGAGGTTTTTGTCAGGTCGGCGCTGCTGCTGTTGAGCCGCCGATTGAGTCCGAGTTCCATGAGTTCCATGTTGGGTAATCTGCTGAGAAACAGTTGGACGAGCCTGTGTGACTGCTGGCGTGGCCCTATGTGGGATTGCCATCAACTGTTCCTCAGTCGCCGGGACAAGGGTAACCGGCCGTTGGGTTCCATCCGGCATATTCATCATCATCGTCACCGATGCGCCCGTCATTGGTCGGTGTGGATCTCCGACGAAGACATCACGTATGTTGTGCATCAGTTGCTCGGTATCCGAGCGACCCTGTGTGGGTGCTGGTAACCGAATCTTTATTTCCGGTTCATGGTCGGTCGGT